ATGTACTTACTGTTTATAATTTTAATAAGTTTATTCACATTGTTTTTAATATTTTGTCTAAATATTATGTAATTTCCACAATTCTCTATATCTTTTTGTATATTGTCCGTTCTAGCCCTGAAGAAGACCTGCAAAGTCGGGTCGAAATGTTGGCTTTTAATAAAATAGTTTTGCCACTATTTAGTCTATTTATGACCGCTTACCCGGACCATCTCCTTCCTTATTGTATTTTCATTTTATTCATCTTATAAAATTACTTCTAACCTATCTACGATATATGTCAAATCCATTAAACATCCACCTGAATTTTATTTTAAATGAATAATAGTTTCGTTGCCCTGTAGGTGACATTGCTTGATTTGGAACGTTCATATAGCTGACGAGATATAATTGTGTGAAATAAAGTGTTTAAGTTTTATATTATTCATTATAAAATTAATATTACCAAAAATTACCTATAATTTATCATAAGATTAACTTCATTTGGTTTCCCGTCTTAAAATTATCGATAAATACTGTTCACTATTAAGAATCTGTTTTTGGCCATTCCAATTTATTTTTTCCTAAACCTATTTTTTTAAGTGAAAACTTTTTAGACGCGTTTCGATCATAACAGACTGAAACGACAAGAAACCGCTCGACGTTTCCGATTACTTCAGCACTTACTAGACAAACGCTCTAAACTTGCAATTAATGACAAAAGATTCATATACATGACTATAATAAGCCCTATTTGGACTTACGGAGTTGAGTTATGGGGTTCCACTAAACCATCGAAATCCTCTCGTATCCAATCCTTACAATTCAAAATCCTTCGTAAAATCCTCAATGCTCCCTATTTTATTACAAATAAAACCACCCATAATGATCTTAATGTTTCTTATATTTCAGATTTGGTCCAATCAGGATACCTGTCTTTCTTCATAAACTTCAGAATCATCAACCAACCCTCTCGTTTCTAACCTTGCTTCTTCTTCAATTCCTGATAGCCATCCGAGGCGTCTGAAAAGAAGATGGCCTCGTAATCTCCTAATGTAGACAAATTATTAGAGTGCTACCATTGGGTGGTTTCTCAACAAGTGTTTTCACGTCATTATATCCATATGTACAAATTTACTAAATGTATTTCTTTAATGCAGTTGTAAATATCATTAAGACATTTAAAAAAGCACTTTTTTGTGGAGAGTGAATTAGATTGATCGGTCAGATTTCGTTCGGCATTAACGCTCGGGTAAACTCGACTATAGTCGACTAATGAAAATATTTATACATTTGGATTAAGATATCTCAGAAACTATAAATCGGGTCTGCATACTGTAAATTGTTCAGCATTACATCCTCTCTGTAATAGACTATAATTCAAAATTGTATCTTAACGAAACCCCGTGTTAGCGAAGCGAAATGGAAAAAATAGCGTTGAAAACGAAATGATAAGGTTTGTTGATCATATGGATTAAAATATTTTAGATACTGAAAATCGGATCTGTATACTGTAAGCTCCGGATCCAGGACATACCAGGATACCAGAAAATGAGGCAACGGATAAAGCTACGGGTTTTAAGCTGCTCATATGAATATCCCACCTCTCCAAATATACGAGCCGAGTGATGTAAACACATTGCTAAAAGACAGAGTACGGACAAATGGGGAGTCCATGTGGAATGAAATTCCACTGACTAATAAACTTAGAAACATTTTAAAAAATACAAAACAATGGATAAGTGCTGGAAGAGGAAACATAAGAGATGAAGTGGTAATATCAAGGATGAGAATTGGTCATACTAACCTGACTCATGTCCATTTAATAACAAAAGAGGACCAACCATATTGCTATACCTGCCAGTCCCCGCTAACCATAAAGCAGATAATAGATTGTGTATTACTACATCGAGCTTTTGTAAAAAAGAAAATAGCCCGTTGTAGAAAAAAAGTATTGAAAGACTCAATGCTAATTAGTAAATTCAATAGAAAATATTTTAAAACTTTTAAAACAAACCCAATTGTACCATAGAATATAAGAATTAATGCAATACATGCAAAGAAATTTTTTTTTGTATTCAGAAAGGTAAGTTACTAATAATAACATCATAGGTCAAGATCGTAATAACCAAATTGTTGATCGCCTAGAACAATTCTTAACCTAACCTGTTCAGCATTTCATGTTCTTTGTAATGAGCTATTATTTATAATTTATATTTCATATTATTAATCTCGCCTGGTGTATGTTTTAACTTATATCGTGTGGTCTAGAGCACACATCTTAATTTTTTTTATATATGTAATCCAAATCAATAGATTTTTTTTCTTTAAAGAAAGAGCAGTAAATGGTTCAATTTTAAAACCCGTTATATTAAGTATATCTTTTTGATTTAGAACTGAGTTCAGCTAGGAGTTTCACTTAGACTCTTTGAAGAAGACCTGCAAAGTCGGGTCGAAATGTTGGCTTTTAATAAAATAGTTTTAGCACTATTTAGCCTATTTATGACCGCCACCCCGGACCATCTCCTTCTTTTATATCTTTTTGAGTTTGTCTGTCAGATACTGGCAAAAGAGTCAGTTATAAAGCTCTTGTAGGTGACGCCCGTTAAATTTCCAATTCCTTTATCAAGAAAAATTAAAAACATTATCTAAAAACACTACAAGAAAAATAAAACAAAAAATTCAGGATAAGTGAAAGTAGTTAAAGAGAAAAAGAAAAACCGAGGATATAGTGTCCTTACTGATAGATGGTTGTTCCTGGGACACTAAGTGGGCCGTAACAGACCTAACTAATTTGCCACTAGTTATTTCACTTACGGTTTCCGGCAAGACTAAAGTAAAGCAAACAAACATACAAGGAGAAAATATAAAATCCAAAAATTTATGAAGTAAAGATCTAGGAGGTCCTATAATGTTACTATTCACATTTTTCGAGGAGGGTATCAAGTATTGGCACACTGTCAACTTCTGGCGCTTTAACCTAGCTTAAGGTAGAATAATATTTAATTTTGTTCGATATATTTTATAGTTTGAAGGATGTTTAAATATTTCACAAGCTATGGAAAAAATAAATGTCTAAATCGATTTTTTCTCTAGGCTAGTATTTCTGTTTCTTGTTCGTGCCCGTTCCATCTGATCTCGGTTTTAAATATTCTTTTACTGTATATGTTTCTAAAGAGATGTTGAACTGGACGCCTTCTTTCAATTTTCTTTTGTTTCTCTTGGTTTCTTTTTACTCTCACTTACCAATATATAGTAAGAGAAAGTATCGCGATCCTGAAAATTTTCGAATCTGAGTTTTAAACGGAAATAAAAGTTATTTTGACGTCGAAGTCTAAATAACCAAGTCCCGCAAAATGGTGTGTGTGTATGCATTTATGTGAATAGTCTAGCTCAAAAACGAAAAGTCGAACGAAACTGATATTACGTATTTAAGATAGGTATATGTCTTGGATGTGACAACAACTTTTTCGTTAAAATCTACTAACCGGAAGTGCCACTTTATATCAACGGTTAAACACATTTTTACAATTTTCTCAAAAACGGTTCTAACGATTTTGATTAAATTCGGTGTATCATTGTATAATTAAGTGGTCTTTATTATCATTTAGTTCTTATACCCATTGATGTCACTATACAGGGCTTAAATGCCCAATATTCAACATATCTTCCTCAAATGTACCTTTGATTCTGATTATTTGAAATAATTAACTATCTTTCATTGTTAGGAGTTATGAAAAAAGGCTAATATAACTTTTGAAAGAAGTAGATGATTGAATAAAGGAGAAAAACAGAAAAATTCTTATCCAAGTCGGAAATAATAGTCAGAAGGTATACGTACAATACATCGTTGGGAAGCGGAGAATTTGAGAAAAAAATAATATCAAATAGAGTGGGCCGTGAAGGTAAGGGAAAGTTACAAAAAAATATAAAAATAAAAATGTTTATAAAACAAACATTATTTAACGTTAGTCACAAGTTTTCAAGGAAATTAAATGAGATTTTCTTACTAAATTTTGAATTGTTGAAAACTGAGATTCGAAAATTTTCTCGATCGCAATACTTGCGCTTACTATATAATTCATATATAGGTAAGTGAAAGTAAAAATTAATAGAGGAATTTAGAATGTAACAAAGTAGAAATGTAAACAAGGCTGTGATGATGAAGAAAAGTATAGTATATGTAAATGACAATTGACATTAAGTTTATTTTAAAGCGGTAATGGAATAGTAGGCTACATGAAGAGTATAATATGGTGTATAGTTGAAGGGTAGGTCTGTTGAGAAAGAATCGTAATACAAGTCATGAGGGTTAACGAAACTCGTTATCGTTTGTTTTTCGACACTAATTTTTATTCCTTTTCGCCCCTCTAACCCGGCTTTGCGTTAAGATACAATTTGAATAACGACATATTACAAAGAGGATGAAATGCTGAACATTTCTCTCTCCTTCAATATGCAGGTACGGTTTTTAGTTTTTTGTAATATTTTAATCCGTAAGCAAAATATTTCAATTAAACGACTTTACCCGAGAGTTAATCATCGGGATCTGACGCCTCAATCGAATTCACTCCCCACAAAAAAAGAACAAAACGCGCCTAATGAAGTTTTTACTTTTTACATTTCTCTGATGTCCTGGTACATATGCTGGAGAAAAAAAGTAAAAACAATAATTTACGTTCCCTGAATGATTTAAGCGAAGGTTTTTACAATAGGGAACATAAGATTCCTTTCATATATCGAGGAAAGAGGAAAAGGGCATAATGGTGACTATATTATCCGCAAAAACAAAGACACATTCGTCTTGATTCCGGCCGCCGGACAAGCTGAAGAGAGAACCGTGGACTTATTCACGGCGGCTCCATACATTTGGAAAGTTTGGACGTAAACTGGGGTCTGGGGGCTCGTTTATATTCCGACTGTATCGCCAAGGAAATTAGTTAAGAAACATGGGCGGAACCGGGGGAGCGCGGAGCACACACAGCTCTCGCTTCCTCTCCCAGCTCTAGTTAGCTCGGCTAATGCCTCTTTGGGTTGCGGCTATCGATAGGCCGCTCAATCAGCTACGACCTCTTTGGCTTACCGCAGTTTGTACAAAGAGGTTATTCACACCACTTGTGATAAATACATGACATGTTAACCTGTACTAAACAGTTCAGTGAACGACTCCTCTATACTCGTGCCGGATTTATGGTTCCAATCGAGGGAGAGCGGCATTTTTTTTTGTAACGATAATTACTTTGAAATTAATTGTATAAAGCGATGATAAAATGGTCTTTGAAATAAAAAAAAAAGTGATTACAGAAACAATAATGCCTTCACAGATATTTTTTTAATATTTAAGTCCTTGGTACGGATCCTTTTTATCAAATTATTTATATCCGCCTGAAACTTCGTGAATAGCTTTATCTGATCGTAACCTACAACCTCAAAATGGTAAAATATAAGCATGTTTTATGGAAAAAAAATTTTAAAATACTTCCTAAAGAATTATTGTGTAATATTATTGATGTAACTAATAAAAATAAAAAAATCTTTGATTTTGCTTGATGATGGTCTCGATTTATTTGTAGGTGAAGCAGACCTCTAGCCCATTTTCTTTTTAATCTGTGCCAACCACCTACACTATGGGAAGTTAAAATTTTTCAAAGAATTTTGGATTTCGTTTATGTCTACTTTTTTTGCTGAAGTTCTGCTATATATGTTCCAATTGCTCTCAGTATAGCGTTAGATATTTATCACTTCTTTCGTAAATTAAGTGCGGATATGTAGCCCAGAAAATCTAGTCAGTTCTTGTATTTTTTTATTTCGTATGCATGTTCCAGGTAAGTCTTTTGCCTCAGTGGAGTCCCAGGTACCGTATATAGTTTTTGGTAGCCACTGGGTTCTTGTAGATGTTTATTTATGTATTACATTTGGGTTAGTACACAGGTTAGTGACACTATATTCAAATTTCCATTTCAAATATGTCTGTAATGGTTGTGTTGTAGAAAGATATCTATAAAGATTGGTCTATGAAAAAAAATTCAGGAGCTCTTATAACCCAAATCCTACCATTATACCAAATTATTCCACGGATTGGAATTACGTAAATATGTTACTAGGGAATGGGTACTGTAATTGCAGGAGTGCAGTGGCCGTATTAGACCTCCTTAAAATCTCTTTTATAATTGACCTTATTAAAGTTATTAATTATTTTCTCAAAACAATATCACCTATTTTATCGATGGTGTACTTAGAATTTAATTATCTTGGACAGTTTTTGAGAAATTTCTTCATATTCAATAAAAACCGTAACCTCCTTAAGAAAAACACAAAAATGGTCTTCACGCCTTTTCTGTTCTGAATTCGCCCATGCATCAAATGAACTTTTTTGTGGGACATTTTGTCTAGAATCACCAACCAGAGTTTGGCCATTAAGAAATGAGTATTGATCCACGAGGTACTCCCATATAAATCTTAGTAGGCGGAAAAGAAAATGTGCACACGTCGTGAATCTTTTGAAAATGAACACGAGAAAAAGATTTAAACATGCGATATAATGATTACTAAGACTCGACTCAAGCTGATAAAAAGTATAAAATTGCCAGGGCCTGAAGGAAGGAAAAGGATAAAGGAGAGGAAATTGTGCAAAGAGGTCTAAAAGTCTAAAAGACTTTGAAAGGCTGTAATGCCCCGGATCCGGACAGGGAGGTATTTGTTTAGAGTGTGTGTGGTTGGGCCTTATGCAAATTCCAAAGGACTCTTCTTGTCACTGAGCCCTCAGCTTCCAAATAGAAAATCTTCCTTCCTTCCCCTCCCCTCCCTTCGGCCACAAAATGTCGGCTTAGGGAATTCCTCCAAGGAGCAATCTGGATTTCCTTCCCGCACCCTCCCATCCTCTCGTAAACGTGGCGTTCACCTTCACCCTTCTATTCCAATCTTATCAGCTCTATGACATTCTTATTTTTATAAAAAGTCAGGTGTTTGAACAAATTTTAAATGTTTACATTATTTTTAGTGTGTGTGTGTATATGTATATCCCTTGAAATGATACAACATGTAGGCGAAAACTGGTGGTTTGTGGCTAGGGATAGATACAGATGGAAACAAGTTAAAAGCAATATTTAGTTGCTGTGTTTTATTTTATTATATTCTGTTTGTCTTTATATTAACCTAGTGCTTCCAAGACTGTTCTGTTTACTGTATGGCTTTGTATTGTTTTGTTTTTCTTAGGCCTTACATTACATACAAAAAAAAAAATATATATATATATATATATATATATATATATATATATATATATATATATATCTGTTTTGTTTTATTTTAAACATTTAAGAAAAATTTATTTTAATAATTTAAACATATTTTTCTGTGCAATAGCCAACTCCGTTAAAATCCTCCTTAGGGAGAGGCTTTTGTCAATAATTGATGTCAATAAAGCTTATTATTATTATATGTACATGTATATGTGTATGTTTATATGGGTGTATATCTGTTTTTTTACTCTCCATCTATGTCTATACCGTTGATATAATATGAGAAGGAGATAATTGGAGGGTGCGGTCAAATAAATACTAAATTAAAATATTTTAAATTAAATAATTTAATTAAATATAAATAATAAATAATTAAATAATTACTATATTTTAATTTAGTATTTATTTGACCGCACCCCCCAATTAATTCCTTCTCATAGAGTATAGTAGTTTTATATAATTTTACAATATCATTGTGAATCTTCATATAAACATTTTAAAGAACAGATGTAAATAATTTTTCACTTTAGTTAGTAGTTGTTTTTACATTCACTTACCTATATATGGAATATATAGTAAGGGGAAGTATTGCGATCGTTAAAGTTTTCGAATCCGAGTTTTCTACCGAAATACATATTTAGAGGTCCCCTGATTTCAAATAATCAAGTCCCGCAAAATGGTCTGTACGTGTGTGAGTGTATGTGAACAGTCTAGCTCAAAAACGAAAACGATATTACATATTTAAGATAGGTATATTACTTAGATGTGACAACAACTTTTTCCTTAAAATCGGCTAACCGGAAGTGCCGCTTTATATCAACGCTGAAACAAATTTTTACAATTTGTTCAAAAACGGCTCCAACGATTTTGATTAAACTCGGTGTGTCATTGTATAATTAAGTGGTCTTGAATATCATTGAGGTCTTATCCAAATTTATGTTACTTTACAGAGCTTAAATACCCAATGTTTACATAAGTCTTCCTTTAAAGTACCTTTAATACGGTTTAATTTGAAATTTTAAATCTCTTTTATTGAAAATTACTGTAAAAAATGGCTAAATATAACTTTTGAAAGAATTCGATGATAAAAATTCGATAATAAACAAAAATGATTTTCCAATTCGAAAATGAATCTCCGAAAATAATAGTCAGAAGATATACGTATAATATATCGCTGGAAAGCCGAGAATTTTAGACAAATAATATCAAATAAATAAAGTTGTAGAAGGTAACGGAAATTGACAAAAAATATAGTAATTAAAATTTTTAGAAAACGAACATTATTTAAAATAAATCACTTGTTTAAGAAGAAGAATTAAATTAAATTTTCTTACTAAATGTAAACATTTAATTTTTTTTCTAAATTAAAAAAAAAAAATTTTTTAAATCAACCGAATCATGCCAGTACCATTGTTTAAAATACTATTTCATTGTACTTGTGTGAAAAAAAGAAGTGAAATATAAAAATATTTCTTGGATATGCTTATAACTTTAAATACATTTACTGTAGTTTAATAACTCTAGATATGATATTGTATTTAAATAATTAGGTATCTATTGGTCGTTTATCCCAAAAAAATTAAATTAGTGGATAATTTGATGGATTTTCCCTTTGTGAAATCCAAACGTTATCCAATTACATTTAGTGTGACAACCTTTGACCTATCCGTGGCAGAGACTGAAATTCTCGTAATTTCATTTTAGTAAACTTTACAATGGAAAATAACAGTTTAATAACTACTAGTCCTACAATCCGTAATCATTTATATGTTAAATATTTAGATATACAATACTTTCAAATCTCTCAAGCCATATATGAGCCTTTCGTTTGCCAAAATGACTAACTCCAATTTCAACATTCTTTATTATTAAATTTTAGTGATGTTTCATACTAGTGATGCGGCTGGAAAAGTGGCATTGGGATCTCCTGGAGTCTTACTTTGCCTTCCACATTTGGGGGAAAAAGCCTGGCTCGGAGATCCCTGGGCGAATGTATATATTGTATATAGGTATGATTGTGTTTAGAAGTTTCTATTTTATGTTATTGTTTATTTTTTTTTTATTCTTTTATTTACTTTCTTCATCAGTATTATTTATTTACTTTTTATATTTATATTTATTCCTCTATTATTTGTATATATTGTTTGAATGAGAACTCTTAGCCCTAATACTTATAGCCCTCTAGCATTGGCTGATTGTATTATTATTCAATAAATAGATAAAAAAAAAAAAAAGTGATGTTTCTGGTTTCAAAATGTATACCTTTAATCACAGTTCTATATTTCAACACTGCAATCATCTACTCTGGAATCAAGTTACTCACTGTCTGTATAGATATAACTTTTCCAACTAGAAATAGCACTCAAATGGCATTACTCAAAAATCTTGGAATTGGAGTTAGTCATTCTGTCAACTGAAAGGCTCAGAGACTGAAGATGTGTGGTTAAAAAAGCAGATGGAGTAACTAGATTTGTAATGCCTACCATCGATATAATAAATAGAGTTTTTGTAATTTTAATGGCCTCAATGATTTGTTATCAGTAAGCTTTGAGCTTTAGCTCTGTTTAAAATGCAATTCAAAAACTTTATAATAGCTCAACAATACCAGACACGGGCGGATCTACGGGGAGCTTTCGGGCTGAAGCCCCCCCCCCCCCAAAATGGAAAAATATAACCATGTTTTATGGGGAAAAAAATTTAAAAATACCTCTTAAAGTATTATTGTTCGTGTTATTACATTTAAAAGTACTTAAGGAATAACTTAAACACCATTTCATATAGGTAGTTAGTTTCTTTCTGTTTTTCCAAAGTAATTATCGTTATTTTCATGAAAAAAAAAAGGTTTCGGGCTGATGCCCCCCAAAATTAAATCCTGGATCCGCTAATGATGCCAGAAAATAATTTCCATTCAAAGTGCAGCGGTAAGTGAAAGTTGTGTGTTACGCGCACCAGATTTTTTTATATCACAATGGTCTGCCTATAAAATTGATTCGACGTTCCCGTTTAATATCATTTAGTTATTTTTATATTATTATTTTTAACAGCTGTATTGCAGTATTGTAACCGTAATGCTGAACTGCATTTGTTAAAAGATTTCGAGAACTATCTGAAGACTAGTCTTATTATTTATGCTTTAATTATTATTTATTGAAATAGGTCTCTTGGCCAGATTTATGGATTATTTGTATAAACAATATTGTTATTCTTAAGGGACTCTGTCCCAGAATAAAGACGATTTTTCTAATTTTTAAATAATTGCTTAGAGAATGAAATAAGCTTGAATAAATAGATTACATAAAATGGGCAAAGTAATGCTTTTACCGAAGATCTCGTATCGTCTCCGACAAATACGCAAGCCCTCCAACTAGAAATTTTGTAAGTCCTTAAAAATATTTATTAATATAAAATGTGAAACCTACTAGTACTGATTTTTGAGATCATCAATTTTATTTCTTCCAACTATAGTTTTGGAATTTGGATTTGACAAGTATTTGAAACTGCATTGTCACACAAAACTGGGCTGAAGCTAATGCTTTGAAAGTGTTTAACTTCGTTATGATTCTTCAAGATTGGGTAACATTTTACTGGCTAGTCTATTCGTCCATCTTTCTCTTTGCATCTGATTCTTATCATAGGTGGAACAGAAAAAGTTGAATATCATATATCCGTTAAAAAATATGGTATTCAGCTATTTAATTCCGTTTACTCTAGACAGTACGTAATGCATTCGAAAACTACATTTCCCCAACCAAAAACAAAATAACATCAAAAGCAAATCATGGAGAATTTCGCATCCTCACCTTAAGGACAGTAACATTCGTTACGTTCTTTCCTTTCCTACCTATATTAGGTAAGAAAAATATGGCGATCGGGTCAAATTTCCGATATGCGGTTTTCAACGGAGCTAAGCGTTTCAGAGCCCCCTGAGTCCGAAAAATACATTTTAAGCCATTGGTCTGTCAGTCTGTCTGTGCCAAGATTATCTCGGAAACTAGGGAACCGATTTTGTAACCTCATTTTTTATTTTGTAGGGTTTCGACTACTGATGCCTGCGACAAAAATTGGATGCTCCATGTGAAATAAATGAAAAACCTATTTTCTATAGACTGTACCGCGGAAACGGCTCTAACGATTTTGATGAAACTTTCCTATAATGTTCTAATAATTTTTCTTTCAATTTTCGTATATGGACTAAATTCCCGAGAAAAAGTTCATAAAATTCAGCAAAAAAAGTTATAAAGAAAAGAAATATTTTTTTTGGGCGTAACTCACTAAGTATACATTCTATGGTAAAATTTATAATAATTTTTTGAAACTTAATTACTTAATTCATCACCGGAAAAATCGGAATTAATTAAAAATCATCGGAATCGAACCAGTATTAGCGATGATACAGCTTATTCTGCTTTATATTTTAATTTATTACTTTCCTACCTATGGTAGGTAAGGAAAGTATTGCGATCGGGTCAAATTTCCGATTTCCGGTTTTTGAAATGTACTGAAATTCTCTACAAAACTATATAAAAATCGTTCATTTCGGACTACTATTAATGAAGTTACAGCTATTCAATTTTCAATGTATGGTATCAGAAAGGGATGAATGAGAAAAAATATATAACTGAGTGAAAGTTCACAAAGAAGCTTCACTATTTCCTCTACTTATAACAGAAATTAAAAATTAGGCTATTGCAAAAACGGTTTGATCAGCAATATTAGAGGGTATTGAAATGTTTACACTGATCTACCTTAAGTCGGTTTACATTGCTTTAATTTATCAAATAAATCGTACTCAAATGTTTTCTTTCATACATTTTCAGCCAAATAAATCTAATTCATTTTTTTTTTCTTTGTTTCTTGATGGTCATATATAAAGATATAAAAACTTTTCTTAAATAGGTAGGGAAGTCGTGTGAGTGGATACATCAGATTTTTTCATTATAGTTTGTATGTGAGATTTCATTAAAAGATATTTCTATGGCCAATTCCTTCTAACCTCTAAATCGTGACCTCAATGTAACCTGTTCGTGGGTAGGTTGCTTTTCCCAATGTGTTTTATTTACTTTCAAAAATGGCCAAAATATTTACTCCTACAAATCAGATAAGACTGACTAATGTTGCTGTAGTACGTATGAAAAAAGCTGGTAAACGTTTCGAAATAGCATGTTATAAAAACAAGGTTGTTTCTTGGAGAAATAATGTGTAAGTATTATATGAACATGTGTTTTTGTTCAGTTTAAGCTTAATTAAAGTTTATAGGTTCTATTTTAAATAATCTTTTCTTCTTAATGAGAACTTTTATTAGTCAATTCATCCTCTGTATTTTTCATCCTAGGGGTGTCAGTTATAAATATTTGAAATTTAAAAATTGTCATGGTTATTACAAACAATTATTATATTGTTCGGTCGAATTTTGTTTATTCGTGGAATACTGGACATACTTGCTTATGTATTAATACATTAAGAGTAACGAGGTAGTTCTGTAAGTAAGGCTATTCTCTTGGGCCCAGGCTCTTATCTGGCAGTGTCACATAACTATTTATTCTATTACATCGGTTGAGGAAGAACTCAGGAGTTGTTAGATCCTTCTTGGCCATTATGTAGCCTCTGTACAGTGGGTAACCTTGATTGATAAAACCTGGGAACTGACCATGGCCAAATCACTTTCTTGCACAACCGTTGGCTTATAAACATTACTCTTTACTAAGTACTGATCCCAAGAACCATCATGAATTGTAGTGGTAGTTGTGTAGTTTATTAACACATTGTTTGTTGACAGTTTTTACTAGTATTCTGTTGGAATTAAGTTTTCATTTCTATGTAACTTGTTAATATCTCTTATGAGCTGGATGGGCCATGTTGCAGACTTAACCTTTATTAATATCAATTATATTTGAAAGGTACCGTGTAATGGAAGATTGAAAGGAAACACTGTGATAAGCTTGTCATTTTATCTATTGCTGAAGGTCCCATGTTCATTTTGAAAAGCGCTAAACCTTCAAGTAATTTTTTTTAAATTCCAACCTTATTTTTTGCATTAAAGTTATTAACTAACTGCATCAAAACACATACTTTTATTTATTCAATATAATTACAATAAGTGCAAAATGCTTTTACTTCACAAAGGGATAATTGATCAAAGTACTTAGTGATATAATGTTATGAAATATATCTTAATCACTTTTTGTTATAAATTTATATATATATTCATCTGCATTTCCGTGGCATACCACGGAACTGGTTCAAACATGAAACATTGGTCCACAGGAAGGTCAAGATCATGTTTATCATATTTTACCTATAATACAGAAAACAAACAGAGAAGGCTGATTTCAAGAGATAAGTTGTCATAATTATTTTAAGATTAACTGAAAAAATCCATTTCCACTTGATTATTAACACCCCAACCTCAACTGTAAACAACCCATTGGGGATTGATTAATCTCTTGAATTAATATATAGACCTGTCTCCTGAAAATAGTTGTCAACACTTGACTACTTTTAAAATTCCATCCACAGTATCATTGATGTTATCTTGACTCACCTATCAATAACATATTACACATATGTCTTTTTTTCAAATTGGAATTTTGTGGATTTTTCGGTACTTGTTTAACAGCGGGTAGCGTCAAAACCTCTCTTGTCATCTAATCTTATTTCACTTAACCTCCCTTATCTCCTCTAACCTAATTTATTCCCTTGTTTATTTTTTGTTCCTTGTGTAAGCTGTGAGCTAATCTTCTTTAATTATGGAGGTTGTCACATTGTGGTAATTGACGTCTTCAGAAGAAGAGGCTATCAAATATTTTTAAGACGCCGGGATATTTGCATAGGTGAAATATTGTGATGAAGGTCATCAAATTAAGTTCGATGAGAAGATTAAATGTAGATGCTTTCGTAGTTGTAACAAAACCGTTTCTATAAGGAAAGGAATGTGGTTAGAAAGGTTGAGGATTTCTTTTTTAACGGTTTTAAAAGTCATTTATGGGTGGTCCCATAATTTAACAACAATACAGTGGGGGAAAGAGCAGCTTAAACTATCCCAGGCAACTATAGTAACGTGGAACAAATTTTTAAGAAAGGTTTCTGCCCATAACATGTTATACAGGTCAAATAAAAAAATTGGAGGGCCTGGCAAAGTTGCAAATTTTTTATTTTTATTATTTTATTTATTTTTATATAAATTTTACAATGTTTTTTAATTATATATTTTGGTCTATTTATTATATATCTTGTAAAATAAAATTATTTTTTATTATTACATTTGTTTTTCTTTTTGTTCACAATTTCAATAATATCAATACAATACAATAAACATGAATCCGAAGATATAATAATATGAATATAATACAATAAATATGAATACGAAGATATTATCAGTGGCGTATCCGAGTTATCAGTATTAAGGTTATAAACATCGGCAGATAGCAGTCGGACACTACCCGCTATTAAAAAAGTACCGATTTTTCATTATATATTATTTTGAAAATGTATGAACTACCCTATGCGTGGATGAAGTATTTACAAATGTGAATGCTACTGTTTTATATCAGACTTTACATGTATAAGACTAATATAAACCTGTACCACTACAACCCATGAAGGGTCTTCAGTCCAGTACTATTTAGGGAAAGTATTGTTTCTAAGTCAACGGTTATGCAAGTAGGTGATTTGACCAAGATCACGCTCAACCTCCAGGTTTTTCCCCTTAATTATTTAATTAAGGGTACCCACTTTATAGAGACTGGTGTGCCTCAGAAGGATCTCAGGGTCGCCCCACGGGTGATGAAGCAGAAAAATTATTTTTCTGCCATGAGCCGGGATTCGAACCTAGGATCTTGAGCATTGGAAGATTAGTGTCCTACCACTGAGCTACCCCACTCCCCCATATATAACTATTATATTATTATTATTTCTAATCAGGTGATAGGTGTTCTGTTTTCCCACCTGTACTCTATTTCACTTTATTTCCTAGGATATTTTCCTTTTAGCATTATTTTTAAATCTGTTTTTTATAGTTTATTTTGGCATTACATTTTCATTTACATTTGGTTCAGTTTTTCTCAATTACTTCTTAAATTTTCTCTACTGAAATTTCAGTGCTTGTCATTAGTAGTCTTAGTTGTCTATGATTGCCCTTATTCCATATTTCTGCTCCATGTACCTAGCTTTATTAGGTTTTCACTTAATAATTTTTCTCTTTTTTTTATAGGGAAAAAGATATTGATGAAGTCTTACAAACCCATACTGTTTTCACGAACGTATCAAAAGGTCAAGTCGCTAAAAGAGAAGATCTTATAAAAGCTTTTGGAAAAGATGATTTGACTGAAGTTTGTAAAGAAATTCTATCAAAAGGAGAACTTCAAGTATCGGACAAAGAGCGACAAAATCAACTCGATTCACTTTTTAAGGATATCGCCACTACCGTGGCAGGTACTCTATATTCAGTAACACCATTATTTTCTTTTTATATTTGAAAGTTTTTCCTAGCCTATCTCTATTTCAGATAAATGTGTTAATCCTGAAAGTAAACGACCTTATCCAGTATCAATGATCGAGAAAGCCATGAAAGATATTCATTTTTCAATGAAGCCTAATCGTAATGCTAAGCAACAGGTGCTGTTCTTTGATAATAACGAAGATTCGATAATATTTTTCTGCTGAAATTTAGTTTCAATATTTTTTTTTTTTAATGATTTTTTTTTTCTTATAGGCACTTGATGTAATTCCTCAGTTGAAAGCTATTATGCCCCTTGAGAGAGCACAGATGAGGTTGAAAGTTCAGTTCTCAGGGAAGGATGCAAGGAAGCAAAGAGAAAAACTCGCCAAGTTGACTACAAGCATAGAATCAGAACACTGGGATGCCGGTGAACTTAATATGGTAAAATTTTCTTATTTATACATAAATTGCTAATAAAGAACAGCGGTTCAAAAAATGTTTTGGTTGCGTTATCCCTCGTGTGAATAAGGAACTATTGTCGGACTAAAAATAAAAAATTGTATCATAGTTATCCTATAAGCAGTAATGTAATAAAATCTTTACACATTTGTGGTACCATATATGTAAAACAAATAAAATATTTCCCTGATATAATCTTAAGTTTGGTTAATATTCATTTTAATTCTACTATTTACATATATATATTAAATAATGAAATTAAATATTATTTAACGGGACCTCTAGCTGGCAACACACCACAATTTTCTGACTACTTTCCTAGGATTTTGTAGTATTTCGTTCAATATAGTAGTAAAATCTTGTTCACCATACAAAATTTTTAACTTCATTTTCTTGGTTTATCATAAATATGTACTTAATATATTTTGAGATGAAAAACTCTGAAATAAAACAAAACCATGCCCCTCCCTCCCCCAGTTGCGTTAGTAGGCCAGTTAGAAATCTTACTCTTTCGTACAAAATATTAAGATATGTGTTATTAATTTTAAACTGATACAACAGCTTACTACGATCTCTTGATCATAAAAAAATAAATAAATGACGATTGATTTTGACTAAGCAAAAATTGGAAAAATCTGTAATTTTTGAGTTTTATAAAATACTATTTTTTATTATTATTTATATATAACTACATAATTTTTGTTTTTTTTAGATTTGCAATATTGATCCTGGTCATTATAGAGAAGTCGATGAAATTGTTCATTCTACAAAGGGAATCAGTGGTTTCCTTGAATTATTAAGTCTAAAAGAAATTACAGAAGGAGAAGAAATGTTAGAATAATTTTGTTTTTTTAAATTATTATTATTGTAAATAAATGTTTTATTATATGTAAGACTATTTATTTCAAAGAATCCCATTATTTTATTGAGAGTTATTAACTAAATTAGTCAAAAGAAAGAATTATTTGTTAATTATTTAGGAATAATTAGTTGAAGGAGTATTTTTTTTCATTTTAAATAATGGTACAACTTTATGTTGTGGAAAAAATAATATATCTAGAAAATAGTATATTCAGTGATATTACTAAAATATTTTCCTCCATTGACTTTATTTACTATTTACATATTCAGCTATTTTATACATTTCATTATTTTTATTTATACACTATAAGGGGAAAGAGAATATGCTTTAGTATAGTAATTATAGCAGAATATCCCTCGGAAGAGCCTGCGGCAAGACATCTCTGCCTGACTTTCAACCGATACCGGATGTATATGATTTCTGATCAACCGCCTGACAGATTGGTGCCAAAGTTGCATTTAGTCCTTACATGTTTGAACAAGTGTCGGAATATACACCTTGGTGCACAAGTGATGTGAAGAATGATCTCAGCAAACGGTTGTTATTATGAACTCCGCTCACACCTATATAGCAGACTTGCCTCGCAGTAGTACACCAATGTCATCTACAAAACCCTCATCCACCCTATTCTGACTTACGGTTCTGAGATCTGGACTATTGCTAAGACAGATGGAAAAGACCTTGCTTTTGAAAGGAAAATACTTCGCCAATTCTATGGACCTATCTTTGTGAACAGACAACAGAGAAGGCATAGAAATAGAGAAATCTATAACCTTCATACCGAGCCTGATGTAAATCATCAAAGCCAGGAGATTGAGGTGGGCAGGACACTCTCCTTGGATGCCAGATCAGTCAATCCTAAAGAAAATACTAACAAAACAACTATTTGGCTGCTTCCGGGCTTCGGAGGATGTGTTGCTGATGATTTCAGTAAGAAATTGGATGGCAGCATTACAGAACAGAAACATGTGGTTTTTGCTGAAGGAAGCCAGAATTTGCTTACAGGTTGTAGAGCTAAACTAATAATAATAACATTATTTATATTTACATTAAAAAATAAAACAAATTACATTAACATACAAAAAATTAAACTATACTGAAGCAAGTTGCCACCCAAATGTAAAAATAAATAAAGTGAATTGATGGTTCAGGATCAACATATTTGGTTAAATTATAAATATTTGAAATAAATACTTAATATTAATTTAATAATTAAGTACAAAGATCGCAGCAAAAATAGTCCACATGGATTTCTACCACTTTTTCTATAAGATATAAATTAACTAGTTTTATAAAACAAGTCTGCCAAAGGTAGACTACGTTTTTAATTAAGGACTAATATAGAAGTATCACATATCAAAATTTCAAGCCTCCTGAAACATCAGACACTATTTCTTATCATTATAACACACATTTGTTGCAGTTAAAATTTAAAGCTTTCTAAGATAGTAGCAAATTTGTTACTCCCAAAGCCGCAATTTTTTTTAATTTAGTCTGTCATAGGATAGTATAGAAACTGCAAGCATCTCAAAAATGACACCTTTTAGCAGAAAATTCATATATCATAGTTTCATCTTTACTGCTAGGAATGTAGTTTTTGGCGAATTTGGACGTCTGCATGACTGCCATTTATGAATGCAGCGGCTTTGGAATAGCAGACAAGGCTTATTTTACTTAGAATGGTGTACACTATTAAATTTCTTCCTGAAATGAGTACCATTTTTTGTTCCTTTCAAGAGAGCTATCAAAGTTAGGCTATCTTCACACATATAATTAAGCTATTATCAAGGATGCGATATAACTGTACTTAGTCCTACAGCCTAGATAAAGGCCACTTTAAGACGGCTTGGTCAAAACAGGATATTGTCATTTTCTCTAGAAACAGCGTCTGCGCTGATAAATGGTTCCCCTCAGCATGTATCCAAATAGTGTGGAGCTGGTTACCTCCACTTGCACTATACCTGATCCTTAGCAAAATTTGAAAAATTATTTACTTTCATTATCTGCTTTAATCTGCTTAATACTATTTTTTAACATGCTAGACCTTTTTTGCCATACATACCAGCACTTATGATAGTATCGAACATGAAGCACGGCCTTAAACCTACGACCTATGTCGATACAGATAGATAATTGATTTTAAATACGTAACTAATTCAAGATTTAAATGTTAACCCTCTCTGACTAAGCGTCAGATACTGAATATAGAACTAAGTTATCTTTGGAACAGTTGAGTACTACGGAACGAACGTATTTATCAGTGGGTATCTCATGTAAAAGTCGTGCTACACTACCAGTATATATTCTGGTTTATTTAGTAATTGTTACTGCTGAATATGTAACCTATAAAGGAACCATGTTTAGAGGCTTATTCGGCACGTCCGTTTAAGCTATTATCTTTAATCAAAACTGATTTGAATTATAAGCGTTCCGCTCCGATAGCGCCATAAAATTCTGTTCAATTCGTTTGTTTAGTTAGCCATCAACATTTAGATTACTTCTGTTATTAATGAGTATCTTTTGTTCAATAGATATTTTCAAATACCGCTGTCAGAAGTTAAAAAGTAACCTATATTCTTCATTAATATCAAGTTTTCTCCTTTGTGAGTCTAAAGTAAATGCCAATCCTGCATTCTAATCTTAGATTTATCTAGGTTAAAATAAAGTTTTAATAAAGATAAGTGAACTTTCACTATCTCATGTACTTAAAAAAATCATAGTTCAATAGTCTACTCCATCTGTCTAGCTCTATGTACTTCAGAGAAGGTTTTGTTATGTTCTAGTAGCAGGTTATGTTTCATTACTGGATTACTGATTTATGTCTATTACTGGATTAATTAATATATATTATTATTTTTGTTCTGTAAAGAGGTCATTTTTAATTTTGAGCGAGGAAATAAAGTTTAATAACATTAAATTTAAGTTATTTAAAACATTTAATTTAAACCTGATAGTTGGTAAATATTTTTAAAATGAATCGCAGAGTAGTTGTAACAGGTCTGGGTGCTGTTAGTCCATTAGGTATAAATGTCAAACTTTCCTGGAATAATTTGATGTCTGGTGGTTGTGCGATTTCAAAAATAAAAGATATAGACGCCTATGAAAAAATTCCTTGTAAGATAGTCGCCCAAGTTCCTCAGGGTTCCGGATCTGAGGAATTGGATATTTCCAAGCATGTTTCTAAAAGTGATTTGAGAATTATGTCCTTGTCATCCATATTTGGCCTAATTGCGAGTTCTGAGGCTTTGAATGATGCTGACTGGAAACCAGATGACATTTCATCCAAAGAAAGGACTGGTGTTTGTGTAGGTGTTGGCATGTCTGATTTAGTAGCGATATGTGAAACTAATGAAGCTTTAAAACAAAGTTATACTAAAGTTAGTCCTTATTTTGTCCCAAAAATTTTACCAAATATGGTAGCAGGCCATATAAGTATGAAATATGGATTTCAGGGGCCTAATCATACTGTTTCAACTGCTTGTGCTACTGGCTCCCATGCCATTGGTGACGCTTTCAAATTCATTCAAAATAATTTTGCAGATGTAATGGTGTGTGGTGGTTCTGAGGCCTGTATCAACCCATTGTCTTTGGCTGGATTTTGCAGACTTCGAGCTTTGTGTACAACAGCTAACGATTCTCCTAAATCAGCTTCAAGACCATTTGATAAAAAGAGAAACGGATTCGTAATGGGTGAGGGTTCTGCCATATTGGTTCTTGAAGAATTGAATCATGCATTGCAAAGGAATGCAAAAATTTATGCTGAAATATTAGGTTACGGTCTGTCAGGAGATGCTTCACATATAACAGCTCCTCACGAAGAAGGGTTGGGTGCCTTGCTTGCCATGAGGAGAGCAATTGATGACGCCAAGCTGCGGCCTTCTGATATAACTTACGTAAATGCACATGCCACGTCGACTCCATTAGGCGATGCTGTTGAACTACGAGCTATCACAAAAATGTTCGAATCAACGATAAGCAGTCTTGCAGTTTCTTCGACCAAAGGGGCACACGGTCACTTATTAGGAGCAGCTGGGAATTTAGAAAGCCTTTTTACCATTTTAGCCTGTCATTTCTCAAAACTGCCTCCGACAATAAATTTAACAGATAAGTGTGATGAGGGGAAAAGTATAAATTGTGTTCCTAATGTCTCTCAGGATTGGAAATCCAGCCGAAAAGTAGCTCTAAAAAATTCATTTGGTTTTGGTGGTACTAATGCATGCTTATGTATTGGGGAATACATTCCATAATAATCAAGATGTTTTTTTAAATAACCAGTTAATGCAGTAAAAAGTAATCATAAAATTCAAAAGAGACCTTTTTCATTCATATTCTAAGGTAGCAATGAACTCTTTACTGTGTTTTATGTTATATTTTTGAATACAACAAAAATGTTTGTATATAAATAAACAAAAGAAGTTTGTAAATAATCGTATTATCTATTTTAGTGACTTGTAAGTTTTTAAAAAAATTCAGAAAATTTGTTTATTTTCTGGTTACTATACTGATTAAGAACCCCAATCAATGACTTACTTTTTTAAAATATTTTTTGTGAATAGTTCTCATACCAATTTTGTATATATATATATATATCAAGATCACTGAAATTATTCTCAAACTGTGGGATAGATTTTATATTTTTAAAATTTAAAACTGTTATATATTTATTTTTTGTTAAATTAATAAATTATATCTAATTACTGAGTTATATTTTTCCTAATAGTTACTCTGTATTTATGTTTATATTATTGTTTTAATTAGTCTCCACTCCATATCATGTATCCTTTAGATGTGGCATTTCCGCCACTAACTGTTAGTTTTGAAAATCTTGTCAATATTTTCAATTGGGCAACAGTGAGGGTTAGGCATTGTTATTCCACAAACTTTATGACCTGTCAGAACTATTTGTTAAAAGATAAAGGGCATGATTCATTAACTCTTCAACATAGAGGATCATCACCACCCAAATAGCAAATTCTTAAGATACTAGTCATGAATCATGCAAACTGATGAATATGCCAGATGTGGTCAGAATCACCAGCCTCGGAAGACTGCGGTAGGCCAACGACATGGCCAAGATGAATGACACAGCAATCCTGAAGGAGATTGTATATAAGAAGCTCCATACAAGACGACGAGGATGGGTTTGGCAGGATTAATGTTGTCCATGATGCAAGATGCCTTACGAGAACTCTGAACTGAAAAGCGGCTGCACAAGACTGTGATATGTGACTGAGACTGATCCAAGAGGCCATGACTTACTAGTGGGCTCTTAAGCTGAAGAATATATAAAAAGAATCGTGCTTACAGCTCAGGAGCCATACATTAGGTGAAAATGTACCTATTAAAAAATTTAGCAAAGGTAACTACTTCATTATAAGGTTGGAAAAGTATATCATAAACTACTAAAATGGGTAAATGCTGAAATGAAACAAAAATCAACAGTATGAATATTGCCTTTTATTTATTTCAAAGGAACACAACAGGAAATCTATGTAAATACATCAATATTACTAAATTTTATGTTTAAATCAATTTTCCAATAAACGGTACTAACCGACAATATTTTGTAATTGATGCGACAATTTCTATATAAACGTACAATACAGTAAGATATCAAAAAAGGGGTTTACAATTTTTTTTTTTGTAATGTTCTTGAATCATTCATAAATATATATATATTTTTAAATATTTCACCATTCATTCAGATGTAACATATTTTACCAATATTCTTAAAAATACATTAAACAAGGAGATCCATGTTTGAAACATCTTTAATTCAATGCATTAAACACTATTAACATGGAATGCAAACAAAAGTTTAAAAAACAATGCTTTTCGATAAACTATCTGAAAGTAACAAAAATAATTTTAAACTATTCTTTTAAAAATCAGAAAGGCACTTAAAAAACAAAATACACTAAAATAAGTCTATCAGCATAACTATTCATTATAATACTCCGGTGCATATAATTAAATATATTTGCACTTATTATAATAAAATAAATTAACAGTAAGTAAAATGACCAGTATATAAAATGTAACTTACAAAATTATATATATTACCAAATATAAAAACAACTTATTATGGATTACAAACTCATTGGAAATATTAAAATAAAACATGGATATGTTTAAACAAATATATATATAATTTTTTTAAATATTTAATCATATGTCTATTTTTTTAAATAATCATAAAGCTTCTTAATTTTAAATTTCACAACAAATTCTCATAATAAATTTATTTTAAATCCTTGAAGTCATACACCGAATCATTCATATCAGGTTTGTCAAAATTGATTACTTATTTAATTTTCTGATATTACTTTTCATAAAATGTGTCTAATATAATGTTCTGTAAGTATTGACTTATTCTGTGCAACAAAATTCTTAAAGAAATACAGCATTACAATACCAATTAGACCTGATTTTGAATTTATGTGAAGTGGACATAGTAACACAACACAAATGTTTATTTATTTTTTATTTTTCATAAGTCATAACAAACACAAATTCAACATTTCCTGATTTAAATGGGACTTCGAAACCAGTTTTTCAGTTTATACTAACCCTTATTTTGATATCATTCTTAAACAGATTTTAAAGAAATTATAAAATGACTTAAATAAAAATAGGTATTTTGGTATTTACTAAAAAAAAATGTGACTTTTTTCTTAGAGGATATTGAAATATATATATATATATATATATGAATGTATTACAGGAAAAAGACTTGTTTCTATTTATTTTTAAGCACTCAAAATAATTAAATTATTTTGGGGCAAAACCAACCCTAAAGCACAGCGCACTTATCTGACACGTTACATATTCAGTCATAGTAACTTTTTAAACCGGGTTAAGGTAAAGACAGAGTTGACTTGTGGGCGCAGTAGTTAAATGATTTTAAAATAAAATTGTGAGGTGAATAACAGGGGGAAAAAATCGCTTTTTTTTCTATCTTTTTTTTTTTAATCAGTATAAAAACAAAATCAAAGTGGAAAATACGGTATATTATAGCAGAGAAATATTTTTAATTTTTAACATGAAATATAATCAAATAATTTTATCAATTAAGCTGTGATGCCTAAAAAAAAAAAATCAAAACAACAATTTTTATATTATTAAAATAAATAAATAACACATCATTCTAAGGAATCTTATCCAACCCATCATTTCGTAGAATACTTATATTATTTGTTCTGACTTATGTGCTGTCTAAAGAATGATACATTGATATCTATCTACGTATATTTTAATGGTATTAAGATCATAGTTTAGATTTTTTTTTTTTTTTTTTTACTAATGATGTTTCACAGCTTAGGGGACAAATTTGATGTCTCATTTTTATATCAGAGCTTAACAGATTTTTTAACTGTTTTGCTACAACAAAATAAAAGTAGTTTGGTGAATATGATAAATTGATGGAGAAAATTTAATTTTCTTTTCCAACATAATTACTGAAATGAAATAGAATATTTTATATAGAGCTTACTATAGGTAAACATATGCATTTTTTTTTCTTTCTATAATTAATTAATTTCCCACTGATAACATTCAATTATCAGAAGCAAACATACTGAAGTGAGCCAAAACTGTTTCTCATTTAATTTAACTAATTATTTTCTTTATTCAAGCATAGTTCTTCATCATTTATACAATCATTCTATTTAGCTAAAAAATATAAATATACATATGTATATTTAAAGGTTCAGAAAAAGTTATAATCAAGAAAAAAAATAAATTTACCAAGAGAACTTGATTTCAATACTATCTGATCTGCATAAAACATTTATCTGCATAATTTTCATGTTAAAAATTTATCAAGAGTCATTAAGTGCTCTGAATTACGATGGGGACATCAGAATCTTATACTTAAAATAATTTTATTTATCCCATTAAGGTATTGGTATCACTTCTTTTAACTTAAAAGTTAAAACCAATATAGTGTTTATAATTATAATTTTTCTTTTTTTCTTAACAACTCTTGGGAATGTATACAAAGTAGTGCCATTTTCAACTTATATATTTAAATAAACAATAATACAATTCAAATAACGACACCAAAATATAAATCCTCTCTTAACACATCCCTATATAATTGTGTAAAATACAGAACAGAGAAAATAATTATGTTAGTTTTTGGCACTAATTGACACTATATTTTTTTTTTGTTTTTTTTTATCTAATTTTCTTTTATAAATGAGAGTAAGTAGAAAATAAAAAAATTGGTATGTACACAGGAAAAAAAAAAAAGAAGAAGAAGCTTATTTTGTCTGTTTTAAAATAAAAGAAACAATATTTCAGATTAAATAGAATAAATAGCAACAAAAAGTCTAGAATACTTAACACCCTCTAATCTTTATAGTTGAGTTGTGTTGCCGCACAATTGGGCAAATCTCTGCCTAAGTGTTCTCCGCAGTTCTTCTCTTTTTTGTGTTATATTAACTTGTGACTGAAACTCTCTGACGTCTTCTAATGGAATGAAACTTTCCTCATCAGATGAAGTTGTTTCCTTAAAAATAATAAGATGGTTAAATGGCTTCATAAATCTCAACTGTTACAGAAATAAATTTATGAAATATAAAATGTAAATATTATAAATAAATATAAAACTATCACTGTGGTAAGGTCGGCCATTTTGTTTTAGGTTAATTTTCTTTGTTAACTACTTGGGACAGAAGTATGGTGACTGCAGCAACCTGTCTCTAACAATTTGTTACTGAAAAGTGGAAGTGATGAAATTCAGGGTTAGTTACAAATAAACTTGAAGAAAAAAAAAGCTATACAATAGACTGTAGAACCCCTCTAAACACCTTGGGTTCGAACGGTATACCTGCCTTTCTGTTAGGAGTTGTGTCACTCGTGCGGACGGGATACATACCTTCCCTCCTTAGCTGTCGCCACCTGTAGTGGTAGAGGAAAGCCTCACTTCCACCGTGCACCTTGTGTGGCTGCATTCATTAATCCTAACTCATTGAGGTCTCGCAGTCTAAGGGTTAACCGACCTTGGATTAACCTTCCTAAGGATTAACCAACCTAACGAAAAGGAATAAACCTAAATTCCTTTCTGAAATTTCATTTGAAGAATGAAAAAACATCCATGATTGTTGGATTTGTGTAAAAAATTAACAGCAAGAACATGATTTACATGTCTGCTACGGCTAAAAAATAAATTTTAGATTATATATTCTTAAAAATCATGGAAGAAATTTAAGGCAAACATTAAGAAACTTCTTGCTGATTTGACTCTACAAAGATGAACATATAAAAAATTAATGCATCCAGAATTTTCACCTGGAGGGTTCCTTTAGATGTACATCTAAACCTATTCTAACCAGAGTGAGAAAGTCAATATTCATTGCATGGTTCCACCACAATTCGAACAGACATCACTAGATTCTATATATTCAAAGTTTTCGCTTTAACTTGCTCAGCCATCACGACCTTACCTTAAGTTTTGTTCATAATTCATCATCTATTTCTATACTTTTAAATGAATAAATACAAATTGTATTAATCATAAAACAGTGTTATTCCACATTTTTATTAATATTAACTATACCTCAGATAAAACGGGAAGCAGCTAGGATTCCAGCTTTTTTTCTTCTTGGCATATTGAGTAAATTGATTTATTTAGGCGCCCGGAAAAAAAAATTAAATCCTTGAAATCAGTAAAAAATATAATCATATGGCTTACCTCTAGCATCTGCTCGAGAGAGAGTTTCAATCTTTCTTCACCACCTCCATTGGTTGGTTTTTCTGAATTATTAGTGACTCTATTACAAACTCCTATTAAAGAAATAATTTAATTATTTTTAAATATTAAATATATGTTTCTCATCAATAAAGTATGCTTATTTCTTAAAGAAATACACTTTAAAATTAAAAAAACTAGTTACCTTCATCATTACAAAAACCATCGCAACAAGCGACTTCTGAGCCGTCGGGTGAACTAGGAGATGAACTGGCATTGTTATTGCCACTAGAATAACCACAGTCTTGTGCGTACTCGCAGCAACAGGTTCCATTGTGTTTTTCAGCCTTATCCTGGGGGTATGGGAAAAAAAAATTATAATGAGGAAAACGGTGAATTAATAGGATGGTGTGGTCGACAATACACTCCATTACTAATATCCAGGCCGTATATTCAAGACCTGCTGTCACTCCACTTCAACCTTTCACACCAACTGGAACGTAGAACGATGAGTGATGTGAAAAGACTTTGGCATTACATCAATCTATTACGCCATACCAAAATCCAAAAATCCAATGCTCTTAATTTTTATTTATATTATTCATCATGTATTACATTACAAAATGTTTAGGTGAAAACTATAATATTCTACTAATCATAACTTCAAAAGATATTAATTTTTAAAGTCATGATATGAAGCTAATCGGTAAGAACATTGTGGTTGACAGCTGTGTGGTATGACCATGCAACTCATCTTATATTTAAATAATGTTGAAAAGAAATTGAGCGTTAATATAAACAATAGTAGAAGTAAAAGCACATTGATATATTGAAAAAATTATAGAAATTTTGAATGATTATTATTTCTTCGTAGTTAATATTCAATACACAAAAGTACATTTTTACTAGCAATAATTTTTTATTCTCAAAATTGAAAGACTAAAACAATAATAAGAGTATTCATGCAACCAGTTTAAAGTATTATAAAAAACATAAATGTGTTACAGTCAAGAAACTTATTTAAGATTTGTTTGTTAAATATGGCTGATAGCATACTCAATTTTAACAAGATAGGGGATTAGTTAAAACGGGTGATAATTTCATAAATACAGGTGTAAGATTATTATGGGGTTTTCACATTTGTTTACTACGATTACTTTTAGGGAAATGGAATGTAAGAAAAGATTGCAGAATGAATACCGAAAATTTTGAACGAAAGAGAACAAAATTGTTTATATCATAATTATGCTAAAATCTGAAGTTATTCTAAAAGAATGTTGTTTTTTTTTCAATTCACCTTAAATTTAGGTTTTCCACACACACTGTGAGTAACAAACAGTGTTCAAATAAAAGAGAAAAAATATCTCTTCAACATTGAAATCAACGATTGAAACCGATATCATCACAAATGGAGGTTTCAATTTACAACAGCATTAAAGATTCATCACAGGTTGTGTTAATATCCCTAATATGCTTAGAGAAAAGTTAAATTTATTTATGACAATATGATGTTGTTGATTTGGTCCGAACCAGATACCTAACCTTTCATGACAAAATCTATACCCATCTCAATCCACTAGTTTCGAACTTTGCTTCCTCCTCAATTCCATTAAACACTCCTAGGTATTTGAAAAGAAGATGCCCTCAGGAACTATTTAGAGAGTGCTACCATTGGGTAGTATCTCGACAAGTCTGTTCATGTCACTATTGTTCTGTTCACACTGATTATATTTTATTTAATATAATTGAAAGCGAACCCTAACTGATTTTTTGGGAAATCATTATTAATATCGATTCCCATGTAAAAACACCTATTGAATCTGATGATGAAATTATTTTGATTTATTTTTTCAAAAACGAACCTTAATATTAAAAAAGTGGTGTGAACACAAGTTTATTTCCGAAACTGGCCTTTTTTTCAAGAAAAATAATGAACCTTTTTTTAACCATTTTACTCGAGTGAAAATTAAAAATAAATAAAGGAAGGAGATGGTCTGGGGTTGCGGTCATAAAAAGGCTAAATAGTGGTAAAACTATTTTATTGAAAGCCAACGTTTCGACCCGACTTTGCAGGTCTTCATCAGGGAGGTGTGTTCCTCTAGGAGTTTCACTTAGAACTGCCAGTTCTAAGTGAAACTCCTAGAGGAACTGCTAGTTCTAAGTGAAACTCCTAGAGGAACACACCTCCCTGATGAAGACCTGCAAAGTCGGGTCGAAACGTTGGCTTTCAATAAAATAGTTTTACCACTATTTAGCCTTTTTATGAACGCAACCCCAGACCATCTCCTTCCTTTATAATGCAACGGTCAACTATTAAATATTCAATAAAAATAAATAAATTTTATCTAACCATTATCGTAAAAAAATAGTGTTCAGTAAGGTTAGTATGGCTAAACAATATCTATATTTCAAAGTATATAATTTTTTGTATGAGAATAAAATTTCTGGGCAATGTTTTCATAAATACAGTAATCCCTTTAACATTTTTGGGTTGGTTTGATAACCGCGAATTTTGTTAATCAGTGAATTTTCAAATGTGGAAGAGTTCCACATTTGAAAATCGCAAGCTTGATGAATCATGATAAAAATAAATAAAAAAACCCAGTATGTACAGAAAATGCATATCGCTACTGTTAGTTCAAAAGGTCGTATTTAAAAATCGAGTGTTTTACAGGAGAGCATAAAAACTAATTATTTCTTTATTTTATCTGATTACAGTGCTCGAAATATACCCTAATGATGACCCACATGTTTGGTTTGAAACGTCGGCACCAATAAAAACTTTATGACTATTCCCTGAAGATTTTTCCCCCATAATATTTAGAACAGCCGACTAACTTTCTTCAATATTTCTTTATGATTTATTAGTGTAATTTCATATTTTATTTTCCTCAAGTATTTCCCATAGTACCAGACTATATTACAAAAATTCCAGCACAAAAAAAGTAATATTTTTAAAATATATTGTTCATAACTTTTTCTTCCCAAATCATACACCATTTTATCTCTATAAATCAAACCAAGAGCAACTTTTTTTTGTTGTTTAAAAACGGGTTTTGAAGTTTAATTCATTCCAAAGCTGGACATAATAAATTTTAATGTTTTTTTTTTAAATTATTGAAAAATTTCAAGCCTATTTAGCAATGACACACCGCATACTACAATGAAGACAATGACAAGACATATTCTGGTCATATTATCTGTAGTGGATCCAGAATTTTATTTTGAGGAAGCTAAATTATGGAAATTACAGGAACGATATTGATATTATCCATTTGGAATAATTATCAATAGCAGTAATATGAAAACAAATGACAAATTTGAAAATTTTATCAAACCTGTGTCAATGGTGTTTCGATTCCTTCAAGGCATGAAAGAGATGTCTCGCTTAAACTCAGACTATTATGAAGTTGGCAAGTTGATTCTACAGCATCGTCCACCTTGAAAAATTTATTTAATTAAATATGTAATTGTTATAAAAAAAATAAATGTTGTAACAATGAAAATAAGATAAATACTTTTGAATCTGCACCAGCTTTTCTTTCCTTTCTCTTCTTTCTCTTAAGTTTTTTCTGTTCTTTCCTCTGCTGTTTAGCTAACTCTTCTTTTGTTAACTCTTTATATAATAGTTCAAGCTTTGAAATACCTCGTTTAATTTCAACAGAAACCTAATAAACAAAAAAAAATTATACAATAGTTTATTATATTACAATCATACACCAAAAAGTAGCATTACTTTCCTCGGAACATAGAGAAAAATAAATAAAAGGTAATTCCTAATATTGGCCTAAATATTTTTATTGTTTTCAAACCTAAGGAAAATAGAAAATAATGGCTTCAGTTGATGTAACACTTTCAAAAAATCAAAAAGCAAAACAAAAGATATACGGTTTGGTGTAGAACATATGAAAAATATTTAAAACACCATATCTTTGCACCAAATTGTCCGATTTCATTTTTTTATATATATATATATATATATATATATATATATATATAAAATATATATATATATATATATATATATATATATAAAATATATATATATATATATCTATATATCATAATATATATATATATATATATATATATATATATCAAATATATATATATATATATATATTTTAGGAACCTCCGTAATCTTTAAAATAGCCTTTTACAACATCAACAAAAGTGTTTATTTTTTAAGTTATTCTAAATCTAATTTTACGACCACTCATAACTTTTTTCCATCTTCTTTTCATTGAAGAATGTTATATAAATAAATTTAAAGAGCATCGGAGAGAATGCTTTGTCCAAGTTTCATTAATATCGGTACATCCGCTCAGGGGCTACAGTATATACGAAACAGATCTTTTGGCCGCCATCTTGAGAGGAAAGTATTTTTGGGTGAAGTATGTTTTATACAGATACTTAAAAGGCATCGAGGAAAAGACTTTAGGCAAGTTTCATTGAAATCAGTACATTCATTTAGGCACTACAGACTATACCAAAAAGGTTTTTCAGCCATCATCTTGAAAGGAAAAACCGGACAGTAATGTTGGGGTAGGAGGATCATCCATGGATAATCTCTGACTTTGATTCCAAATTTGAAAAAAATTAGTCCAGTAGTCTCGGAAGAAATGTGAGACAACGGACGGATAATATTTTTTATTTGATTTCTGAGTTGTACGTAACCTGAACGGTAAAACCTCAAATTTTGAGGGAGGTTAAATTTTTGAATTTTTTGGACGATTACAATGGTTCATTATTGAAAATAATAAACCAAAAAATATATTACTATGTTTTTAAACAGAAAATATGAATCAATATATAAACAAAATAGTTTTGATACTACCAAGCTGTTTCTTCAAATAAACAAAGATAAGTAAATGCTGCAATTTCTTCAATTATCAAATAACTTGATTCTTGGTATACATGCTTATATAAATATGAAATTGGCATGTTTAATCAAAATTAAATAAGGATTAAATTGTAAGGCACAGCAATAAAAGTTTAAATTAATTTTATTACCTGAAATTTTCTGCTAAGAGCATCTATTGCAATGGCGGCCAAAACTTGACAAGTTGTCTCTTCTTCTTTTAGACGCATTTGGATCCTATGGAGTCTTTCATAAACACACAGGCCTAAACATGTAATGACTTCACCTTGTGCAATTTCCAATGTTTTGGCATGTCTCTCCCCTCCACTACAAAAATATATATATATATATATATTTTGTCAAATAATAATGATATAAAATACTGTTTTAGAATTTTATTTTTACATATTATTTATTCACATACCTGCCAATAATATCAGGATGAACCCTGGCAACAAGCGCCGTAACATAATCAGTACTAGGAGGGAGATGAATGTGTTTATCTGGTAGGCAACGTTTAATACCAGCGTATAAAGATGGAACATAACCCTTTTCCCTTCCTGGTTCAGGCTCTTCCACAAGTAACCAATAAGCCCGTAATACTTTAGTTCGGCAATCGCCGCAAAACCTGGTACATCATCACAGTTTTTACACACTTGTACATTAATAAAAATTCATCAAGAGATAAATTTATATTGATACCTGTGCTTCTGCAAATATCCCTCTAGGGTCGACATCAGAGCTCCTGCATCGATCAATAGCACTTCTTCCCTGCACTGTGGTCTCATCACATCCCAAACCTCTTTCCAGGGAGCCCTCACTCGAGACGCATCCAGACTATGTAATATGCAACGACGACTTTTCTTAGATCGAAGTTGGCTTTCCACCAGTTGTGTTAGACGAGCACTAAACAGAATGAATGTAAGAAACACAAATAAATTATATGTCTCTAATCTGATGTGAGTTAGTAATTGATATGTAATAATATGCAATGCACATAAGAAGAGTATTCGCACCAGCGACCAGGCAAAGTCTAAAATGTTAAGTGTGATAATCTTCTTTAAACCATCCTTTTCTAACAGCTGATCAAGTGTTATTTCAAATCCCTTCTCCATGTATCTACCAATGAACTTGAGCAATTGAAACTCAGTTATTATTAATACAGATTTTTAAAGCAGTTGGTATCTTCATTTGTCGTACAGTGGGGTGGAGCTACTGTACTTGGAGTTCCATTACAAGCTAACTCTAGTTGTTCCTACTAACTACGTCCTCTCGTTCCTAAGCAGTCTAGTTTTTGTGCCTATTCCCATTTCACTATTTTTTATAAAAAGTTCAATTTAGTAATAACTTTTAGGAATCAACCAACATATCTTCTTCTTAATATATTTTAATAAATCATATATTGGTAACGAACATTAATCATTTTTAGTAACAAATTCTCGTATCCTTACTATCCATTGAAATATTTCTTAATTCATGTTATTTTTATAGAAATGCTGTCTGTCAACATTTTGAAATTTACTTCTTGAATTCTTGTCGCATTATAAATCTTTTTAATTTATAAGTGGTGAAAAAAAAAAATTAAAACTAAGGTCTTTTTTTTTTAACATGTTTCATATTCTATCTATCTATCTATCTTAATGGCTCTACAACCTGGCCACCTCTATGAGCTTCCGCCAAATTTTATTATTAATTTCTATTGAAGTCCAACCAGCTCGTCGTGGTCTCAATTTCATCCTTAAACATCAATGTTGTGAGAACTTCATTTATATTTTTATATTGCAGCTTACATTAGTTTTGTTCTGACTGAAGAAAAGTATTGGTCTAATTAACTCCGAACAAACAAAAAGTTGAATTATTCCTATGGATCTTTGTTCCATCCATTTTACATGTGAAAACATAAGTATATATAACTACTGTTAGTGCAAAATGTGGTAGGAACAAATTTTCTATTTTATTATAAATTTAACATTTTGTAGTCTGTAACTGATATAAATAGTCTGATATAGTGGAAAATATTAAAGGGAAATAAAATATGAAATTATACTAATAAATCATGAAGAAATTATCATTTTTTATGCTCTTCTGTAAAACACTCAATTTTTATATACGACCTCCTTTTGCATTAACAGACTGATATGCATGTTCAGTATGCTCTGGAATTTTTAGTTATAATCACGAATTATCAAATATCCAATCTGCGAATGCGGAACTCATTCGCATTTTAGTATTCGCTGATGAACAAAATTCGTGCATATCAAACACCTATATGTTGAGGGATTAGTGAATTTCCGAAAACGGCTTCTCCCAGATATTTTATTCTCAAACAAAAAAATTTAGATCTTGTAATAAAAATATTTTGTAGCTAATGAAAATGGTGCGGAAGCTATACTGACCTTACTTGGCAGACTTCTTTTTTTTTTTGTATTAATTAAAATAACTTAGGAAAAATCCTTGTATTATTTTTTTTATTCATTTTCAAATGATAATAGTGGAATAAAGTTAGGCAGTATTCATTAGAGAAAGTGAAGAATGATATCGATGTATCACCAAGAGACTAGATGTGCAACCGCATATTCATTTTCATTTTTTTAAGAAGCTGTTCAAATATCTTATCTAATATATGCATTAGATTTAATATTTAAATAAATTTATTTTGAAAATTTTAGTAGCCTAGAGCAGTCCATGACGAGGCCTCTACACAACGATTGCCTCAATAGAAGGCAAAAGATCACGTGGAAGCCTAAAAAGCAGGTTGGATAAATTGAATCAACAATGGCGCATTAGAGCTGCATGGAGAAGGTTGATTAAGGCGGCAAAAGATCTACAAGATCTGTAATGCCAACAGAAAAAAATGAAATAAATAAAAAATATTTAGACAAAATGGTTTTGAGAGTAAACAAATATGCTATATACATTTCATCTTAAAAGTGAATTTTCAATAATTATGATATTTAAACTTATTTTGAAGGTTTGTATATACTTTTGATTAAATAAATAAATTAATTGAATAAATAAAGGAACAAAAGTAAATTACCTGTGACCATGAAGAAGTGTACACACCAAATGGGGCCAACTGAAGTGATCGTCTTTAATGGTAAGGTTCCCATTAGGGGATATAACCAACGGCTCTAGAGCAGGATGACCTGACTTCTGAAGCTGCTCATACAACCTCTCAACACTGAAACAGCAAATAGGCAAAGATGGATATTAAAAAGAATTTTGAACACAAAAAATATTTATTAAGAGACAGCTCAAAAGTGTTGAGGTACTAATTTATATGTGCATTTATACATACTAACCATTCAGTCTAACAGTGAAAAATATGAAATCCTCAGTTTACTGCAGTGATAATATGACATTTCATAACCTAAAATAACTAAGAACTTTTCTCTTTTGAATTTTTTTTTTCTTCAAATTTTCTCTTTATGAAATCAGAAAATTTTGCTATATTTAATATAACAGGGTTTGTGTTATTTTCATTCACTTGCAGTGTTTTTTTAAGAATAAAGCCAAAATTCACAACAACATATTTGAAAGTTAACCTATGTTAAAAATGTACTTAACGACTTTTTGCAATAAACTGACGAAATATATGAATATATTTAAACAATAAACGATAAATGTTTTACAAAAAGACCTCACAAATTTTAATTCAACAGATTTCATTTCATTAATAAAATATCTTATATGGTAAGATAAAAAAAAAAAAAAAAATCAAAATAGTATAGTTTATGATACATATGTATATATTTATTTGGTTATGAAAATCAGAAAACTAATTCAAAAACTCATGATGGTATAATATGGAACGCAAACAGGAGGATATCTAAGTCATAAAAGCCATTGATATTATTGTTACATATACATTACATGTATATGCATATATATATATATATATATATATTTTTTTTTTTTTTTCTGTTGGCACTACAGACCATTAAGATCCTTGACCGCGAGATGTGGTCTCCAAGACCACATCCCGATTCCCAATTTAAGTACAGAGGGGTAAGGTCACCAGTCCTACGCATGGTTAGTGAGAGTTGCCTCCAGAAGGCTGACAGGCCTCACATACCCATGGCTTTCCCTGGTGGACAGTCATCCATCTAAGTGCTAACCATGCTCAGCGTTACTAAACTTTGATAACCTATTGTAAGGGCCTAAGCCCGCAGGGCTACCTCAGTAATTACGGTATAACACGGTAATTATACTGCTTTACCAGCTATGTTGTATCAAGACATGATCGATTTGATTTTGTGTTTGCGAATCCAATGATGTACAAGTATATTTATGAATATCTTTATGTTTAAACGTAGTACATGTAATTATCAGCTTTTTTGAGATGGCAAAGTTTATCAAATGGATTCCATTATCATTACTATATTTGTTCAGTTTCTCCTATTCAATTATATTATAACCTGGAAGGTTTTCTGTTTTTTTTTTGTTTTTTTTTGGCCTCCCCTTCCTCGCCATTAAGGCTATACGGTGTTTTCCCGGACCAGGGAGTGAGGACAGGAATTTAAAAGACTCCCTCGGCACTGGGACGCGAACTCGTGACTATTTTTATATCATTCGATTGATATATCAGCTCTTGGTACACTACACCTTTCTGATCCCACCAAATGCACTACATTATCTTCTTTCCAAAGTATTTCGGTCTTATGGTCAATGTTGATAAATGTCATGGGTCAACTGAAGATTTACTGAGTTATGGATTCTTAAAATATATACATGGTTTGTCACCAGTCATGATCCAATGGGAAAAAGTCTTTCTTTTATGAAGACAAAGCAAAACTTTGCACACTGTTTTTCATTTACCATCAGCTATGGTAACCATTTTCCAATTTTTGGTATTGAATACAAATCACAAATAGTTTGGCAAACAACATTTAACCTCTGACATTACTTGTTGAGGTTGTGTTTCATCTTCGTACAAGAATTCTTGATATTTGGCATCTTGAATTTTTTTTGGTTGAACTCTGTGTTCTTGGTCTATCATTCAAGTCATAAATCACATTATTGAATCATTTAAACCAATGCACACAAGCATCCTGCATTAAGATATTGTCACTATAAGTTTCCATAAGTATGTGCTGGTTTTCACTCACTTTTTATTTGGCTTAAAACTCAACATGTTTACCACATGAAAAAAATATTAGGCTAACCCTTAGTTGTATAAACATACATGGCATTTTGAAAGGGCACTTCTAACCTAGTTAAACCACATTATAAAAGTAAGTAAAAATAGGAATATTATGATAGAAATATATTAAAATAAAATACTTAAATAGAAATCATCTTATTTTTTCAAAACTCTTCCTACGTTAACACTAAAATAAGTAAATATCAAAGGATTTACAATATACACTTTGCATACCAGACAATGAAAAATAAAATCTGACACAAATAATTTGAGCTGTAGTTAAGTAAAAATTGACATAAAACTAAAACTATTTCAAAAACAATATAGAATCAAGGACCAAAAAGAATGAAATCCACTGATTCCTGAATATGATCTGCATTAACAAGGAGAAAGTCATTAAGTTGAGAAGTCATTAACTACTAACTTTATGCAGTTGAAAACAACTCTGTTATTATATATCTAACCTAATTTAACTTCACTGATAAATAAACATTTTTCTATGATGAAAATTCTGTAAGTAATACAAAAACAAAACTATTACAATTATTATTAATGGAAAAAACTAAACATTCACAACAACGGTTTAGGCAACCATTAAGTGACTGGTGAGGTAATCTCACTAACTGGAAGGCATAAGTTATTTCCAAGTATAAAAATAAAACAAGACTAGAGATACTAGATGATAAACAATTAAACTATACTTAAGCATTTTCATACCACACTAAAACTTCTATATTATAAACTTGATAATACAAGTAAATAGATAAAGCTTACCTTCTACGACATCCAACACAAGGTATTGTTTGACCCAAAATTGACATGATATCCTTAAATTCAACTTCAAATGCTTGACGTAATTCTGACGGGGTTAGTGAATTATACATGTCCAAGAACTTATCCAATTCCTTACCACGGACTGTTGGAGTATCATATACAAACCCCATGCTGTTTAGATCCATAACCATCTGCAAAAGCAATAAAACTAATAAATACCGTCATTGTAATAAGCAGATCAAAAAGATAGAAATAACAAAATCTGAAGAGAGAATGAAAACAGATTTACATAATAAAATTATACAATTAACAAAACTGTTATCAAACTAAACAACTTTATCAGCATTACTTGTTACTAGGACTACAAGAAATTAGAGCACTAGTAACCCCAGCATTACATTTCTTTTAGTCAAACATTTAAATTGGGCATTAAACAACAACAATAAAACAATTACAGCTTGTAAACAATCCGTTTTCTTTCAAACATGTTCATTAAATTACTCAAAAAATCTAATATAAAACTAAAATTATAACATACTGTTAGATTATCATCAATGACTAGTGGAAGTTGCCTTCTAGTCAATTTTTGCTTGTCGTTTCTGTAAACTTCGACTAACTTGGCCATTTTAAAAATAAAAACACAACTAACAAAACATATAATGTTTAGGTTCCCATTAACGGCATACGGTGATTATCAAATTATATCTTCATAACAAGAAGACATTAATACAAATTATTACAAAGACATATCATAGACGAACGAAAATGGATATTAAACTCCAATAAAAACACTTAACACGTCTGAAAATGGCAGTAATAAATAGATCACAAAAAGAAGGTTATTCAAAATTAGGTTATATAGAAAATAGCTTTCCCTCAATCATATTTAATTATTATCCACTTAACGATTCAACACAATTGGTGTTTTTTAAACTGATTCACATTCCATAATCAAACGATAAAGATAAATTATCAGAAATCTGAGTAAGATTAAACAAGATAGAAAGTCATATCTAGGAAAAATAATTCGTCAATTTAATCTGATTTGAAATGTTAACAGATTAACGGTAACGATAAATCAATCTTTTATAATATATTATTAAATATTATTTTCAATACTAAACATGATTATAACACAATCAAATTGTTATCAACGAACCTAATATAATAAAAAATAACAACTTTCATATCAACCAAATTATATATTATGGATATCGCATTTATCTCTATTTCCAAAATAGCAGAACAAATTTCTATTCTTCATAGTATTAATTTGGAAAAACTTACATTTTATGGCGATAATAAATAAATAGAACGTTTTTAACGGTTTTTGTAAATTACCAATTCTATATACCCCCCCCCATACCAAGTTAGATTTAAACACAATCGTGATGTTCCAATTCTAAAATTAATACCTACAGAAATGTTTCATCAAAAGATACTTCATTCTTAAGGAATAGTGATAATAATTACTTGTTATCAGTATTCAGTTAAAAGGGTGGATCATGAAATTAACTACTTTTCAGAACATTTTATTTGTTAATTACAACTATATTTTTATTAAGTACATTTCAGAAGTTAGGTTTTCGCTTTTGTTGCGTAGGAGAATCCATACGGAAAAATGCTTCGGAGTTGAGGAAACATTATCCGATGGATGAATTTAAATCCTATTCATGAGTAAAAATTTAGTATTTTTTTGGTTGAATAAATTTTCTGATGACTAATACCCAGCTCTAGGATGAAAAAAATTGTAAGTTATAGATTCGCATTTATTACACATTACAGGATAAATCCAAAAATTAGGTAATATTCAGTTTTTTAAATTGCTTTTTTTTTACCGAGAACTTGCTATTATACTTCACAAAAAATACTAATTGAAGTACAAAGAAACAAATTTTGGTCATATTATCCATATACGATTCTTCCTCCACTATTTATTAATTCTTTACACCAGTTGGGGGGATTCCCTTTCGCCTGTCCTGTTCAATTTAGCATTAGAACATGCCATTAGGGAGGTAATACGAACCGAGAAAGGGTTGGATCTGGGCGGGACAACATCCGTGCTGGGGTATGCTGATGATCTGGTACTGTTAAGCGAAGACGTTGAAACTATAAAACTAAATACGACAACGTTAATGAAAGCCGGGAAAGAACTAGGACTCGAAATAAACGTGGATAAAACAAAATATATGGTTAGCTGCAAAAATGGCAATACTACTGGTGATATCGATATAGATGGTAATATGTTTGAACAGGTAGATAAATTTAGGTATCTAGGTTCTACGATAACTAGAAAAAACGAAATTGAAGAAGAGATTAAGGTTAGACTGAAGGCGGGGAATGCTTGTTATTTTTCTGTGACAAAACTACTTAGTTCGCGCCTCTTGCCCCGAAACTTAAAAATTAGAATCTATAAAACAATTATCTTGCCTACAGTTCTTTATGGATGCGAAACTTGGCCGCTTACATTAAGGGATGAGCAGCGTCTTAAGGTTTTTGAAAATAAGGTATTGCGTAGAATATTCGGACCGAAAAAGGATGAGTTAACCGGAGAGTTCAGACGGTTACACAACGCCGAATTGCGTGAGATGTATCCGGGTAATATAATTGATGTAATTTCATCGCGGCGAATCAAATGGGCTTGTAAAGTTGTTGGGCTTAGTAACGAGAGAATTCCTAAAAGGTTAATATTTGCTGTGCCGAATGGTAAGCGTCCGAGGGGTAGACCGAAGCGAAGATGGGAAGATTGCATTAAAGCCGATCTGAAGGGACTGGGTTTGGACGGCGAACGGTGGAGGGAGGTGTGTAACAAGCGATTGGTGGTGTCGGCATCGAACCTTCGGGTTCGCTAAGCCTTATTATTATATTATTATTATTATTATTACACCAGTTGACTATTTATTATTGATCAAATTTTATCACCAGAAATATCAATAGTTTCTGAGGAAAATAATGAATTTTGCCTCTACTGGTCCAGGCCAATAAAAAATAGTTTTCTAATAGAGTTCATTCCTTCCGTTAAAAAAAAACAAAAACATAAATGCATGATTTATTATAGCTAATTTACGGAATTCATTTGAATATCCAGCACTTCGTTACATGAAAAGTCGTTGAGCTCTGTTTAAAGGTGATCAGAGCAACATAGGATAAAACGCAAAAAACGAGGAAAAAATTCGAAATTTCAAGTATTTTATTTTCTCAAAATTTATTATATCCTATTGAAGATAGATAGTTACCTACATCGTGATTATTTAGTAAACAGAAAGTGATTATTTTAAAAATGGTATTGGGAGGATAAATTTGATTAGAATGTGATAATTATTTATAGTATGTGTAATAGTCTATTGTAAAAGTTATAGAATGAATAACAAAAATAAAGTATAACAATTACAGTTTAATTGGTGGCCGACAAAAGTTACAGGTGGAACTTGAAAGAGTATCTGTACCTTCTGAATAAAAGGTCTTAATTCGAGTTTATAGCTGCTTATTACACTAAATACTTTAATGCACAGTATGGTTGGAATTTCGTAGTAGTATTTAACGGACAGACCCTAAAGATCTCATAACTTAGTCGCCGAGATCACATTCTTATCTTCAGGTGATAATGGTTTACTTCGCTTCAAGTTCCCCATATATTCATTAAAAATAAGGAAATGCGTCTTTAACTACTATTGTTTAAATACTATTATTTAAGCAAACTGTGTAATCATTTCATGATAATTACTTGTTATAATTGCAATGTTTATTTACATTACCATATCGACAGGATCACCATTTTCTATCTTAGCATCGACCTCTTTGGTGGACCTTCGGCCGGGCTTTGAAGTTTGTATCCAACGGTCTTTTAAATTTTTAGTTATGGTTGAATTTTAAAGTTGTTTTTATTCTTTCCTGTCTATGTTTTTAACATGTCATTTGACGCAAAATTTTATTAGCTTTACGGATCATTGTCAAAAATATAGTTGTAATTAACAAATAATTATGGATATTGAAATCTTAGAATTGTGTAAGGAAAACATTCAACCTTTGAGAAAAGGAAGAAAAGTTAATCAATTAGGATTAGCTCTCAAAGCTGAAGGGAATGCAGAATTACAAACAAGGCTACTGAAAGAGAGAGAGTGAGAAACTTTACTATATTAGTAAATTTAAGTATGTTATTAGCTGATAAGTTAAGTTGTGCTGTCACAATGACAGCACAATAGTGTAGTGCACATTACTAATAGTATTTATTAGTTTAAGCTTCTAATTGTCCTAAATTTAATACTTTTTATACAATGAATTAATTTATATTTTTATATGTTAATTTTGTAACATTAGTTTAAATACAGCTTTACTTGAAGTTTGATTATTTAAATACTTGTTTTTATTGTACAATCAATACAACTGCTGTGACATTACTATAGTGGCTGGTTTTGAGGGTCAGAATTCAACATGAAATAACAAGTATATTTTTTATAAATTGTTGTCATAATCTTTCTGTTTATTTATTGATTTCTGCATTCCTTGCCTTTTGGAAACGCGGATGTTTGATAGAAGTATCCTGCCACTTCTGCCGCTTTTCTCAAGTTCCAATTTATTGGAAGAGGTTGAAATGATCAACCTCCACTAATTCATTCCACCCAAACTTAGTACGGGTAGTTATCCTTGCTTGCTAATAGAGAGAAAGTCCAATTTCCCTCAGTAGTTTGGCCCTTATTAACTCAAAAGTGGTTCAGGTCATGATAGGAACTTCATAATAGGGACATGGGAGATTAATTTCGTTTGAAAAGGTATGAAGTTTGGTGGGAAACTCCCCATGCCCTGTGAGAAATTTTGACACCTAATGATCAGTAGAACCCACTTCCAACCTTGAATAAAAGGTTGGTGGTTAGAAGTAATTACCCACTGTCGATTAGACTGCTCAATGGTGGTCTCGTATTATTTTTTTTTCCCATTTAGATAGGTCTGCCACAATCTTTCCTTAGAGAGTTTTTTTTAGAAGACTTGCTGGCTGAGCCTTTTTTCTAAAGAATGAAAATGTTTATTGAAACATGCAGAAGTTCAAAGAAATCTAGCTTATATTTTAAAAAAATTACCCAACATCACACCAGTTATCAGTTGCTATCTATTATATTGTTTAATAGGGTAATCATTTTAATAAATTTGTCAAGCTCACTAATTTATACACCACTTATTTCTCCGTCTCTTTAACTATCAATCTTCTGCATGTAAAGAAGAAATATCTGTGTATGTTGTATTATAAATTTAATTTTTTGTTATCAGTGCAGATAAACATATACTGTTTTGATGTGAAATTTTTAGAGGAATTATTGTCTGAAAATAAAGGCAAACAATTTCAATAACATCTCTACTATGTGATTTGTCAACTATTATTCTCTCGCCCTTGTGACATGCTTTTCTCAAATCATATATTTTTCTGCTCCTGGTTCTTGTCTTTCTCTAACCCTCTCTTTTCTCTCTCCAGAGAATATTATTGTAGTTGTAATCTGGTTAATTCTGTATGACTAAATGTTAAGGAAAGAAGATGTTTTTAAAACCATAAGTAGCTTTTATTATTTAGACATAAACTGATTTAGTCTACATATCCTTGTTTTTATAGGGAATATGAGCTTGGAATCATAACTTATGATGGGTCTGATCCTCTGGTTCCTAGACTTGAGTACATAACTTGGTTGGAGCAAACCTACATCAAACATGGTCGAGAATGTAATTTAATACCACTTTTAGAAGACACTATTACATTATTTAAGGATAATCCCAAATACAAACAAGATCCTAGATTTATTGATCTTGTTGTAAAATATGTGAGTAAGAAACCATTTTTTTTTTTTTTTTTTTTTGTACGTTCTGACTTATTTATTATTTATTATTGAACATCTAACTTGAAAATAGTTATTAAGTATGATTGAAAATATTATAATTTGATTTAATTGTAGGTTGAAGATCAAGAAAATGCTGTCGAACTTTTCCAAATGGTTTATTCTCAGGGTTTGGGAACAATGTGTGCTAGTCTTTACAGATCATGGGCAGAAGTTCTGGACCAAGGAAATGATTTTAAAAGAGCAGATCAAGTCTATCAGTTAGGAATAGCGAATCATGCAGAACCTGTTGATATGTTGAAGCAAGCACATGCGTGAGTTTTTTTTTTAATGTCATGTCCGATGTATAATTTCTATATTCCATGTAAGAAAGAAAAACATTTTTTCTTTGATATCCAAATTAATTCAGATAGAAAAGCCGGTAAATTAAGCCCGGAAAGGCTTGGATATCACTCCTATAACTCATATATGGCATAAGCTTTATGCCTATTAGATGATTAGGGAAATTTATGATGATAAAAATCAAACAATACTGGCATTAAAAGGAACATCACTCAAAGATGTTCCTTAATGGTTCTGGCACCAGGAAAAACAAATTATTTCTCAAACTAGAATGGGTATCATTCAGGCATTATCAGGACAGAAAAAAGAACTAATCGAACATCACTCCATGACATTCACACACGTCATGGAGTGTTGTTCAATTTTTTCTGTCCTGATGCCTGAATTGGTGAAACATTGACGGGTTTGTTTTCTTTGCCTACATGAAGCTTAGTGGTTTCTTTATTGTTTCAAAAATAACCTAACATTTATGTTCTGTCTCTTGATTAATTTGTTACTAATTTATATTAATGCTAAATTTTATGCATAAATGACCTTATATAAAAAATATTACTTGGACAATTTCGAAGAGGAGAATTGGTCTACTTTAAATTGTAAGAATGTTCGCACTACCTCTTGTCACACAAAGGATTTTGAAATATTGATTTATCAAAATACAGTATTTTTTCCATTTACCAAAGTTAATAACTGAAGAGTTCGAATTGTCAGAAATTTGAATTATCGAGGTTCGAGTTATTGAGAGTCAATCGTAATAAGTAAATGCTTATGAAATCTAAGTAAAATGTTACAGCATCAGTCTCATTAATAGCCCTATTAACGACCTTTTATACCACCTATTATGAAATAAAGTAACATTTAAAAAAATAATGTGAACATTATAATAATATGTTTCATCTGGTTAGTCAGTTTCAGTTGAGTGTGGGTCGACGAATGATGATGTCAGGGGGTGACTTGAGCCAACCTATTGTCGAGGAGCCTCAAGAAAGGCAGGCTTTAGGAAAATTGAAGAAAGGTGTTGGATCTATCCGAAGTGCCCATGGATCAGCTGGAGTTCTTTCTGTCAGGAGCAGCAGCAAGTCATCTTCAAAAAAACCAATTGCTGTTTTTCAGGTCTGATACTTTTATTAACTTTTTTTTTTATTAAGCTCAGTGTTGAAGTTTAAAGATAGGAAAAAAGATATTTAATTTATTAGATATTTTCTTAATTTTCTTTACTGGCTTTTGAGAGATCCAAGATTTTGGTTTTGGAAATATTCAATAAAATTGTAACTGTAATTTATGTCTTCCCCAATCTCATATTACATTAATTTAAAATATTTCACTTTCTAGGATGGAGAAAATAATTATGAGCATCTTATATCTGTGGCACTACAGAAAAATAAAATTGGAAGCATAGCCACCTCGAGCAAAAACAATGAGGAAAACACACTTAAACCCGGAACTTGGAACAAAGGATATAATAGGAAAGAAGTTTCAAAAATGCTTTCGATGCCTCCAACTACACCTTCTTTCAAAGGTAATTTCTTAAGGTAGTTCCTCTTTTTACTTCAATATTAAACTTGTTGCTTTTTTAGTAATTGATATTTAGATGGGTGTAATTTTTAGTTATTCACAACAGGAAGGATTTTTATGCTACTATTGAATTATATAATCCATTGATAAAAAAAAAAAAAATAGTAATATTAACATATAATATAATAATACAACATAATATATTATCAGTATACTTCAGTGAGAACTTTCACATTAAATAGGTGTCCTTATTAACCCCTATTCTCCTTAATGGGCTATTCGTTTCCAGACTTCCGTTACAAACCCTGGTGTAATTTTTGATCAATGCTTTCCTGTAAAATCATATTTCCCAAATTATCGTAATTTTTTTTGCTACCCTCAAACAGTTCCTGAGATTCTGTGTTTCTATGCCCCTAAAAACTCTCTAGCTTAAGTTTCCTCTCTTATTTTTCCACACTTCGATTATGGCTTTCTTGAATATGGTGGACGGTCTGGTGAGCTTGAGATCAGATTGAAGGGACAAATGAATTGTTTCATTAGATTCACCTTTGGAGGTGCCAGGCGCTGCCACGTCTCCAGTTGAAGTGGCTTTATACAATTTTAATTTTTTTAGTGTAATTTAAACATTAAAATTCAATATAAAAATAAAATCTTAAATGAATTATTGAAGGAAGCTGGACAACTGTTGTACATATCATGGGTGATAAATATCCAGGACATAGTCATTGCAAAAAAAATTTTATTTGTGCCGACGTTTCAACCCAAAATATGTGGGTCATCATCAGGGCGTGGTTCGAGCACTGAAGGGTTTTCAAGTACTGAATATAAATTTTTGCAATGACTGGTCCTGAATATTCATCACCCTTAAAATGTTTTATACATTTTTTCCTCACAGAATTTCCTAAATGATATTTATATGTAAATTTAAATACACAATTTTAAAAATAATAATAAAATATAAAATTAATCATGGCTGGCAAGATGATTGGGAGTTGCAGTTGCAGTGAAAACTAAAACTATTTATTTTTCTTTCATGTCAATATTTCGGCCTAAGTTCTGATGAAGACCTAAGCAGGTTTGATGAAAACCTACTCGTTTGGAGTTTGTCCAACAAGTGCAAATATTTATTTATGTATTCAAATGCTTTAATACCTAACCATATTATCTAGATCCAACTTTCTCCACCATTAAAGTTAATTATGTATTGAGTTTAGAAAGAAAGTGTCTATTACAGACTAGCAGTTTTGTTTAATTCTTTTAAAAAAAAATAATTAATTTAATTACCTTTCTTTATTTCTTTCTTTATTTTTTTTTTTTGTTACAACATTTGGTTAACACTTGTTTGTATCCTTAGTTCACGTTGATCCTGATGCAGAAGAGGAAACACCCAAACTGGCTGCAAAAACTCCTTCCAACGTGTTGAAGACTAGAAAAGCGGAAATGTTGGCAAGTTCTAATGCTAAAGAAGTATTCACTGCTTCAAGTTCCGCTCACAAACCACTTCAGGCTAATTTAGAGGTATGTATTTTTGGAATTACATTTTATTTAAGATGTAAAAAAATAAAATAAATAAAAATGGATTCTCCTTGTATATTTTAGTATAAGTAATATAAAAAAAAATTATCATATAAAAAATTAAAATATTTTTTCCAACTGTTAAATTTAACTTAGTATCTGACATTGATATAATTAATCTTTCAAGGGGATTTTACCGGGTTGGTTGATGAGGGCAGGGAATTTAAAATCCACTCTGGCACCGGGATGTTAACTCATACTTTTTTTTTTAATCTCATAACTTTGGTTATCTGGTTGCCCCACACGGCCATCCCGCCCTCTCATAAAGGAATATGGTGGAACCAGTCTTGAACCGGAAACCTTCACCACTAGTATGCTGGCTACTAGACTACGGAGACACCTCAGTGTTTAGGGTATTGTGCTCTTATCTCCTTGGCCTGGGTTTGAATCCTGCTATGTCAGATATGCTGATCACGAGACCCTTCTGTGGCACACCCAGTCTCTATATAATGATAACTCTCAATTGAGGGAAAAACATAATTGTTGAGTGTGATTCAAGCGAAATGACCTTTGTGTACAACTCTTGGTTGAGAAACAGTAGTTCCTTACAAAGTACTGAATACCAGACCCTTCATATTGGTACAAATTAACAATATAAATAATTTAAAATTACTCATGGAACAGGTAAATTACACCTAAAGATTGTTGATGTTTTAAGAAAACCAATTATTAATCTGATTCTAGATTTCATGACAATATGGGTATTCATGCGCTTGTTGTAAATGCATAATTTGCTATCATGCTAAGCAATCAGAATGAATTTTGAATGAATGGTAAATAAACTGTCTGTGCTAATGTGTAATTAGTTATAATAAAGTTATGCATATACTGTAAATAAAGTTTGTGAGTTCTTCATTGTTCTGCTAATGTTTTTTTTGTTTTTTTTTAATGTCAAAGTGGATTGAAAAGACTGAGTTGATGGATTATGTGGCCATATTTAACACATGTTTAGTAAATAATTTTTTCGACTTTACACATTTAGGTTTACAATACTTAGCACTCGCTTCATGAATACCCCTATTATTTTATTTGCACATTTTGGCCTCACCTCTAAATATGAGGTCTTATCAGTTGATTTAAATTTTCATGATATTAATGACGTCTAAACATGGATTTTTTTTTGGCTATTATTCATTTGTAATTTTTTTTAATACTTGAATGAATTGATCTATTTTGGATTAATTTATTTATTTTTTCAGGTCTACGCTGGTGGTCGTGAATTTTCCTTTGAAGAACTCAGGGCTGCGTATTATAAAAAACAAGAAGATATAAAAAGTAAACATTTTCTGTATTTTTTAAAAATTATTTGTTGGGTTTCTTGCTTGGTTTTATTAAATATGTTAAAACTAAAATCAAATTTTTTAGATACAATGTGCTTTAATGACACATTGCAATGTAGTTTCTCAGGATTTCAGTTAACACTCAAAATTCTATTAAAATTTGATCATAAAAAGTGAAACTCATTGGAGGGGTAGTCAATTCTGATGCTATCATGGTTGACAGTAAACGCTGTTGGCATAAATCAACATCCAAATTCTCCTGTAATAATACTGGGCAACAAAGAAAATGTTTCGGGTTTAAAAATGGTTAATTTATATATATTTCCATCTGCTGAATTCAAAAATCACCATAAAAATGACATATTAGTTCTTGCTTTGGAGATAAAGTGACATTTCATTTTTTAGAGTCAACATTGGTTGATACACCTGTCAAGTAACAAAACACAAATGCTCTTCAGCTGTTTGTAAGTCATTAATATAGTTACTGTTGCTGTGACTTTCATATAGTTTCTGCTGTAATTAATGCAGAATTTCTGGTTTGAGAGTGCTTTTCTGAACAAAATTCGTAAAAATACCATGAAAATGTGTATCTATGGTGAATAATTTTTGTTATATTTGTAGTAAAATAACATTTTCCTCACAGAAACGCAATCTGACGCCTCTTGTAAAGACTGCCTATCAGCATTATTTTGTTATGAAAGTAGGGGACCAGGATAAGTCTTGGGCTCCACATATATTTCGCAACCCACGTTCAGTTATACTGCGAGAACGGATGAGAAAGAATAAACGATCTATGGCTTTCGCTGTGCCTACAGTTTGGCAGGAGCCTACAAATCATACAGGTGACTGCTATTTCTGCTTGACTCCAGCTATAAAGGTAGAATTGTCTATGAAGAACAGTTCAGTCCTGAATCTTCGATCTGCGATTCGACCCATTCTTCATTCAGATAGTTTACCAGTTCCTACTCCACCCGAAAATTGTGTGTTTGAAATAGGAAATGAAGATAGTGTAGAACAAGACAAAGAACCAAATAAGCCTTCCACATCCTGTGAACCTGATATTGAGGAAAAAGATGATAAACTGACTAAGTCAAGTGGAATTGAGTGATCTAATTAGAGACGTTGGCCTGTCAAAGGAGAAGGCAGAAATTCTTGTATCTTTTTCTCTTATATTTGTATTTGTTATTGTTACTATATAAAAACAATTCATCCAAAATATTTTTAGGTTAAAAAAAAGAAGTATACACTAATTAAATTTTCTTTTAAATATTATCAAGTGAGTATATTTTATTAAAATGTGTTTCTAGCAAATATCAGAGGTCCGTTTCACCATTTATTAACTATTCCCTTATCATGAGCAATGTACGTCCCCAATAACATAGTTTCTTACAAAGTGGAACATCCTTCCACATAATTATTCAGGCTTTCTAAATAATTATATATATATATATATATTTTTTTTTAAAATTAATCCACACCTGTTTTCTCTAAGAAAATCCATTAACTTTTAGTTTATTCACTCATATTTATGATAATGTTATTTTTAAATTTGTTTTTATTTATTGTTTTACAGATTCGAAAAAAGAAGCCCTCGCACAATTACAAACTCCAGCAAAATATGTGATTCCACTCAACATGCCTAATACTCCTTTCATGATGGGAAGTTCTCACGATGAATGCGAAACTCCTTTACCATCAATGAGGAACTTATCAATCAGCAGTGATTCCAAAAATGACCGTGATGTTCAAGATGGATCCTGTTCACCAACAACAGATTCCAATGAATGTTTCAAGACTCCTTTTAAGCATCCAGCTGGCTTTGTGCCTATTACTCCTTCGTTACAGGGAATAGATTTATCCGAATTCATCGAGACTCCCGTAGCACCTCCTCAGGCCAAGAATAACAAAGTATTCAGTATTTTTGTTGATGAAGAGTGCAGCAGCAGCAGCTCCTCAAGAGATTTGTTACCAATTATTGAAGAAAATCAAGAAGAAACCAGAACGAGCCCGAAAATAATGAAAAAGGGCTTTGTCAGGAAGAAACAGTTGTTTTCTGAAGAATAAGTTTTAGAGGTGTTTTTATAATTTTAAAATTAAGTATTCAAGATTTTCGTCAAAATCTTTACTTTTTAGTATTAAGTTTTCTACTGTTTTTAATAAAAAAAAAAAAGAAATGATCAACTTTAAAAAAAAATTCAACTGTTAAATATGTTAATTATACAAATATGAATAAAATTTTAATATATTTATGTTTTTAGAATTTGTTTCCTTAAGGACAGATTACCAATGTGATCGGCAATTATCCTATGTGATACTGATGTTTAGCATATTAAGTCTGTTTCATCTTATCAAATAATACAAAATTGTTTTTTCATTTTATCAAATAACATAAAATTGTGTAATATTCTTGTTTGAATAATAAATGTTTGTTGAGACTGTATTGTTGATTTTTGCTATGTTCAGATTCCATTTTTCTTCAATTATCTTTGTCAAATTTATTACTGCGGAGGCTTCTTGCCTTTACTCATTTTTGACTTAACCTAGAAAAATAACAAGTTATAAATGATAGTTACTAGGTATTGAGTAAAAATTGTAGTAATAACACATCTTAATTCTTATTATTTCTTGGCCTGAAGTCCATAAATTGTGATATTACCAACTCTCACCATTCACTGACCAAATTCTGTAACCTTTTAGTTGTCAGCAAGGATTGACCTACTCTGACCGAGTTGTTGGACACCCAGTCGCCACTCATCAATGGCACTTGGTATCCAGTCTGGTTGATAAATCGTAATCAGCATTAACAGCTGGCATGATATATACTGTATCAAAGAATCATCAGTTAGAAGGGGGTCAGCATTCATCAGGATATATAAATCATTTGTAATTTTTATTTTACTAGTTGGCCCGTGCGAAAAATTCGCACAGCATATTGTTATCAAATGCCAAATTAATAAGAAAATAAAATAATGCAAGGTATCAAAAGATAAAGAAATCAAATGTTACTTTATCAATAAATATAATCACCAAAGCACACAAAAATTAATTTAAATCTTCATTTTTGTTTGGAACCAACATGTTCACAAATTTCAGTAAGCTGTATCTTTGTTAAAAATAATCCGATTTCGATAATTTTTTTTTCCTTTTGTAGGGGATTTAGTAATCTTTTGTATGATCATGGGCATAACCAAGGGAAAAGTGTGTAATTTTTTTTTTTTTTTTTATTCGCAAATAAAGTTTCTTTTCTTTCATAACTTGTTTGCCTGAATTTTCTGGGTGATTGGACTATTTTGCCCGCCTGTAGGAGAAGGAAACCTTCGAAATTGGTGGCTCAATCTTGAGATTTGGTGAAAAATTAACGATGATATGGCATGCCGATAAAAAACACCATTGATAAATAATATAAACTCCTCTCTCGATCATAGAGACCTCAAGTCGACGAAATGAGACATGTATTCAATGATAGTACCACAATTAATGTAAGACTGTGTGGATGCAAACCCTATGTCTTGCGTTATCTCGAAAATAGTACGTTTTTGGGCTTGCAGGATCCGATAGTTCCGGAGGAACTATCCGGGTCTTGCTGTACGCATCAAAATCTTCAAGATCCAATTTGTCCCATATCGATCTACAGACCTACCACCGTTCCAGTATTGAAGCCTGGCAAAATGTTTGTATCGACTTTATTTATTTTAGAAAGAAAAACAAAAGTGGAGAATACGATTCACTAACCCCCCGTGAAATTCTGAATCCAACGGTACCCCATTCATGGTATTTGAGCATGACAGGAGCTTATATTTGATACAAAACCGATTTCGAGCCTTACTGTAATAATATATGTGGGGATTATAAATTGTAGAACTATCGCTTAATAAACCTAAGATCGTTCACAGTAATTGAACCAATATATGCCTTCAATCGTCAAATAAAATATATTTATTTGAAAAAATAATTTTCAAAAAACAATTTTAATTATATAATAGAAGTTTTACAATCATTTTAATCATAATAATATATAATGTTAAATAAATTTAATATTTTTTTTGTAAATTATATTTAACTTAGTAAGTGATAGTGAAGTACGATTTTCATACAAAGTAATAAACTTTTTGAAGAAAAAGAATAAGGAATTTTATGCTATTAAAAAAAACAACTTGATTATACCAAAAAAAGAACATTTAAAAATTTCTATTTTTTAACATGAACTGACTAGAGTAGTATTTAAATACACTGCTTAATGAATTCTTTGAAAATGGCTAATAATAATAGACCAAAAAATTACAATTAAATGATTCTTTTACCATTTATTTATTTATTTCCACCCTCCCATGCCACAATGGCAATAAGGGTGTTTGCAATAGTGTGTTTTAGGCATAATACTTAATAACACACTACTACTAGATATGCACATATATAGTTCTTCTGTTTTATCTTCTTCCTTCTTCTTTCGGCCTAGCTTTCTGAATCTGGAGGTCTTCCTGGCGCTTGTCCTCTTCTTCTGCGAGCACCAATATGGAAGTGAGCGGGCCCCACTGCAGTCTTCCATCCATTTATGAAATCCTTAAACCGCGGGAAATTTTCCTCACTGACTAACTGAGGAAACTCATTTTCAATGAGGACATAGATTCCCGTGGCTCTTGTCATTGTCGCTCTTAACGTTTCAAACGCGGTGCAGGTCGTGACCACGTGCTCTACAGTTTCTTGAACACTATTCTTTTACCGATAAAGCTTTTATTAATAAAGGAAAATCATGGCCTTGTTAACCTTAATCTATTTTCTTCTTCTTAATCCAATCCTCGTCTCCCACCTGGTGCAGTGTAAGGTATTTACTGTAGAACTTGTTCCCTTCTACTCCAATCCTGATTCCTTGCCACAAACACCTATCTCACAGGTTTTCTAGGGCATCCTTGGCTCCACTTTTATAGGTCAGTCAACCGATTCTCACCTGGTATATATGCTACATTTCCAAACCAGCGCAGACGATTATCCTCCAGAGTTTCATATAATGCTCTTCCTTTTTTGTGGTATTTCTCTGTTCACTCTTTATTGGTAAGTTTTTCTTCAATTTTCCAGAGGAATCTTACTTCCATGGCTAGTATGCTTGCTGGTAAGGGCCCATGACTCACCGTATATTAGGGTGTGCAAAAAAGTTGGTCTGTATACTACCTTTTTTTGCATCTTTTAAAGACATCGACATTAAAATAACTTCCGTGCTACAGCTATTCTCTCCCTTATTTCAGTCTAAATTTATTTTGACTAATTTTAAATATTAAAAAGGTATAGCTTTATCTCAATTAGTTGGCAGCTGGAGGGCCAACTTATGCAGTGTTAATTTTAAATTAATATTTTTATTTGAATACTTAACAGTTGACCGTTGTATTATTAAGGAAGGAGATAGTCCGGGGTGTCGGTCATAAATAGACTAAATACTGGAAAAACTTCTTTATTAAAAGCCAAAAAAAAGAAAAAAAAAAAAAAAGAGATATAGTTTTGCCACTATTTAGTCTATTTATGACTGACACCCCAGACCATCTTCTTCCTTAATATTTTTATTGTTTTCCGCAATCCTTCAATAATATTTACAAATTCTTAAATAAATATAAGGTTTATTATATCTTCCAATATATGAAATTAAAGTAAGTTTAACTACAGCATGGACTTTTTTTGCTCAAAAGTCTTATTTTTATAAGCTTCTAAAGCAGAGATGCCCAATCCAATGCATGTTAGAAGTTCGAAATAATCATGTATCTGGTCGGTATGTATATTTTTAATTTTGTATCTTAATTTAAAAAAAATATTTAAGTTCTCTTTCCAAGATAAAAGAGTATTTGAGACTCAGTTTAATATAGGTAAGAAAATTGTTCTCTCAGTATACAATTTTTAATAAATGTAATATATAAATAAAAATGATTAACTATTTCCATTATGTAACTATATTCACAAAATTTAAATAAGGGTAAAACACATTTCTAAAAACAAGTAACTACACTATTTAGAAATAAATATAGTGAAGGTGACAGGGTATCATAGGATCAGGGAGGGTGGTTAAAGTTGTGCCACGCCTCAATATAAAAAACACTTGTTTGTGTCACGCAATATAAGTAAGTTGGACAGCCCTGCTTAAAACTAACCACTGTATACTCTATAAGCTCAATACCTATGTTCACCAAGAACAATTCTGTAGTAACAGAGAGAATATCTTAATATTGGACTTATGACTGACAATTGCTAAAACTCATTTCTTTGGATTCACAGTTAATAAAGAGAAATTTAATAAAAGAGAGCAAATTTTTCATGATCCATGAATGAATCAACACTATGTGTTTAAAATAAAGTATATTAACAATAGCAAATATAAAGTTTATTACATATTTTATTTATTTACAAAATATTTTAACAAAATGAATTATTTAATAAACATTAAGTCTGTGGTTCTGGATTTGAAGTTGATGCTTCTGAATCTTTGTAATGCCTATATTCAGGCTTCAATTCCCACATGTTCTTATGAGGATTTTTTAAATTGTAATTACAAACTTCTTTTAATATTTCTTTCAAATAAACCTGAAATAAATAACTATTTAAAATAATTTGTTTAAGATGAAATAATAATAATAAATTATTGCAAATTAATCAATGAAAACCATACCACAGGTTGTCGAGTTTTGGTAACGAGATCTTTAATGTTGTAATATTGATGTTTCTCAAAGGCAGCGAAAATCATCTCCAAAACCACTTCCTTGTCATCCCTAGCCTTCTTACCCTCTGCTTTCTTCCTCTCTTCGTATTCAATCTAAAAAGAATTAAAAAATAATAATCACAATGCTACTACACAAGCATTATTAATCACAGAAAAATAATGTTTATTCGACGATTGATAAATTAAGGTTGCAATCAGTTTCAACAACTTTTTTTTTTTCATTAAATCTTAAGTTTCAGCCAATGTTATACATCATAAACCTGTAGTATAATCATAAATCTCTTATAGATCCTGTCAATTATTAAAATGCATTAGTCTCCTTCTTCTTGATTCATATGATGAAGATGAAACTACTTTATGTCTATCTTAAAACAAGAAACTATATCTGCTTACCCACACAAGTTCTTTACAATTATTATATTTTCTTTATTATAACGTTACAAGTGATAATTAAATCAGGATAGAGACCAGATGAAGAAGAATATCTGCAAACCGCTGTTACTCTGGACTGAGAAGCCACTTGTCAAACAAGTTTATTACAAGGGCCGGATATAATTCAATAGGAAACTCTAACCAGAACAATCCTCAATTACAGTGCAGATATGGACCATACCCAATGCAATATGTCAAAGGTTTATGATTTTTTTAAAGATTCTCGGGCAAATATTTGATTCTATCATAAATGGGAGATGGAGGAGGAGCAATCATGTGGCCAATATCATCCTAATTGTGAAGCGAGTCAGATTAAGATGGATTAGGCACATGATGAGGATGAGCGAAGTGTAGATTCAAATGATAGAAGTTGTTTACAGACAGGCCAACGACTGGCTGGATTGATTGTACGATAGGAGACACAAGAAGTTTTGAAATCCATAATATATGGCAACAGCATTAGACAGACTCCTTATGGTTACTTAGTGAGGAGCCCTAGACAGGGTAACTTGCTTTAGAGCTGCACAAAGAAAGTAAGATTATTCGTCAAAAAAGTTTTAAATTTTCTAATAATATGCTAAATGCTATCAGCACTACACACATTAACTGTACTATTCCATGCATAGGAAAAAATTATTGAAACATTAAATAGTAAAATGTAAAATGAAAACGTTACATTATGTTTGTGATCTGACACAGGCTTGAAATTTTGGACGATTCCATCTAATTTCTTCATCTGTCGTGTTGGCTGAGAAGCTTTACGAATTGACTCCAGTTTCAGCTTCATATAGCAGTTATCAGCTATAAAAACACAAAATGTATTAGAAACCTTTAAGATTAGATAACTCATTACTAAAAATTATTATAATATTTACCATAAGGCCGACATTCAAGTTTTTGAACTATCTTTCCTTCGAGACATAATTTTTCTGACTCGGGCACAATATCATCGGGATTAGGACCAGCTGAAAATAATAATATAATCTAGTTAGCTTTCAGTTATAGTGATAAATTTATAAAATTTCATTGTTTTGTTAATTTTTTCATAAGGAGTTTATATTAAGAATTTAAATTAATATATAAATACATACGGGTATAATGTGAAAAGACCCCCATGGTCTGCCTTGTGACCATAGAAACATCAAGCCTATGTTCTTTTGGAATGCTTTCTTCACCGAGGCAAAGTACTGACTCAGAAAGTGATAATGATACCTGGGCCTTCTGACCAGAAACTTTGGAAATTTTCAATTTCCCAACCTCAATATTGCCTGGTGCTTTCTCCCATCGATTAGATATATACTTAGGAACCTAAAATTTCCAAAGTCAATCAAAACTTTCATAAGCAGTAAAAAACAAATATAAAGTACCAGTAAAACCACATTCATGTATTAAACAGTGCTTTAAAGCTGACATATATATAAAAAATAACAAGTCTGAAATAAATTGTACCAATATACAAGTGCCATACCACTCAGACGAGTGGGCTAAGATTTCATGATCATGCTCTATAAATTTCATCCCAAGAATAGTCCAGGCTTAACATGTTTATACTATAACCTCTATATTTATATCAAGATTTAAGACTTCGGCTAACTCTTTACAGGTCCTTTTCATTTTCAGTTAAACTTATAGCATTAATTAGCTGCCATTGATTCATGCTCACTCTTGAGGAATAAATAAATATCCAATGAGACCTTTTCAGTTGAGATTGGGGCCTTACTAGATGGTTTGAACACACATGGGATTTTGTTTATGGTGTGATCATGTGATCTTATGTCACCCATGAAAGTGGAGTAACATTTGTAAAATAAAACTACAATTTTAAAAAAATGTAACTAATGTAGCGGCAACAGATTTCCGCCGCTTACTACAGCTAATAACTAGTTCACCTACCCGCTACCTGGCAGCTCCATACAAGCTCGCCCGTGCAACGCACCTAAAAATTGTATTTTTATTCTTTATGAAAAAAGTGGCCTTGCAAAGTATTGAGCCGTTTGGCGTGACCTACACTCCCAAATTGTCAAAATAACAAGGTTATATAGGCCAAACGGTCCAATTTTTTTGTAGGCCACCTTTTTTTCTTGTTTATTGTTATATGATAAAATACTCAGATTGTAAATTGAAATAATCAAATACATTGCAAATGCCTTTTATTAATAAAGTTTAATGGTGATAACATATACTGATCAAAGCTTAAAAATGACTGTTATTTTAACAGCTCTTGATGGCCGATTTAGTCTTGGCGGAATGAATAGCGCAGTCCTGTCTCAAATATTAGGTCCTCGGATCTCCACCCCTTCAGGATGTAGAACTTTACGCAGTTGGTCAGTGTATGAATCGTATACTGCTTTTAGTCTTCAACCTTGACATATTTCAATATGTCCATTAACCTTTTTTCCTCTCCTCTTATTCCATGCAAGTTTGGACGCTAGTCCGTCCACTTGTAGTCCTATATACAAAGTCAGGAGATCCTTGCGAAGTGTTAAGATTGATCTCTTACCAAGAGTGGTATGGGTGCTGATCCGCCTGACACTTAATGTCATCCTTCTATACATCTTCCTTCAACCACTAAGTCATTTTAACCTTCTATACTTAACACGCACTGTCGAGGCCTTCTGATAAATGTGTATTCTCACTTTACAATACCTCGACACTAACGTGAATATGTATTATATGTTTTTAATTAGATATTTGGAAACCTCATAGTTAAATCAATAGCCTAATGCAATTGAACTATATACAGCTGATTGTTCAAACATTACGACGTGAAATAAAAATATCATAATGAACATTAAGTTTTGATTTGACAACTATATGGTATAAATATCATTAATTCAAAAGGAGTGATTAGAAAAACTAAAAGATGAAACTTACCTTATTTCTGTCGGTAATATTCTAACATTACCTATTAGACAGATGTTATGAGTAAATAACCAAATCTCCCGTGAATAAATACAATTGCAACACACAATTACCTAGGAAACTAAGGTATTTTCAAAGGGAAAAACAAACAAGACCTTCTTTACAGAAATGTCTAAGTGAAAAAAAGGTATAGTTAATAGTATCTATAAAGGGTAATGTTGAATAAATTACCTTTACAAGCCATACACCTCTTCCTGAATTGGATAAATCCAAATCACGGTCCACATGTATATTTGGGGTGGTCATGGTAAAAATATATTTGTTTCAATTATGTAACACAAAAATCAATAAGTTAAACGATCACAGTTTGTTGCCTTGTAAACACCTAAAATAACGATAGTTGATCAATAATTCTCAATGAACATCATTTTTGAAGTATAAATGTAGGGCAGATCAACAATACAAATTCAAAAACTTCCAGATATTGGAAGGCATTGGAAGCGTTAATGAACAATATGTTCGGTTTGCACTTTGACTTCTTATAATCGATTGTTAGAGCAAAGAAGCCACCGTCAAGAACCAATATGAAGAAAACAATTTACTGGCAACTTAAAAAATATATTAGTATTTTTAAAGTGTATATTTATTTGTTTTGTTTTTTGTCTTTACCAACAAGGTATTTGGCAACATGTCACTAAGCTTAAACTTTGTTATAGTGTTATACTGTTTTTACGAATTCTAGATTAGAATTTTTTATTGAAGCTACAAAAAATTGCTAGGACATTTTCATTATGTATGATATGGAACTTTAAGATGGTTTTAGACCTTTCACGTACTAATATATAAATTTGTTGCATAATGTCATTATGATTAGTATTTTTGTTTCATATTTTTTAAATCTTCCTTTTGTTGTGGGTATCATGAGAAATAAAATAAATAGTTTGGATTTGCAATAATGTCGCTGTTATATAAGAGTCGTTCCCATAGTTTGAGAAATGTCAAAAGCACTTTTAACCTTTTCAACGCAATAGCATCGTGTGTTCTACTCTTTCTTTATTTATTTTAAGAGTATATATAAATATATATATAAAGGTGAGATCTTAAAGCTATGTCACTCTGGGCTCAAAGCTGACCAGTATTTCCCTTTCTGGAGTGAGAAATCAGCATTTTACACAATTTTTACTAGGTCATATAATTACAAATGCTGCCAAACTGAATGGAATGTATGCTTCTAAAAGCATGCATCATGAGAAAAAAATAACTGCTTTCAGTGTGATTGGACGCTTTTATTGCCCAGTGAAATAAATGTGTTTAAAATTTTGAAATGGCAGTAGTTCGAATTCAACTATTTAATGAAAATTAGTAGGGAGGTTAGAGATAATTTCACTCTAAAATAAACTTTTTAGAGTACCACCAATGGGTAGTTTCTCAACAAGCGTTTTCGTGTGATTGTATTATTACTGTGTGCACATTTACTGGATATATTTTTAAATTTATACAGTTTTAAATCTCATGAAAAAATATCCTTTAACTTTCTATAAATTAAAAAGAAATGTTATAAAAAACAAGTGAAAACTGGTAATTTGTAGTGGTTATATTCGTCCGGTTAAACCGAAGATTGAAAAACGGAGTTGCCTATAACCGGTTATTTCACAATAACCACAATCATTGCCGAAAAGAACGACTCCTTTTTCACATCTGCTGGCTGCAGAGGTTGGGGGAGGGCGTTACCAAGGCAACCGAACATCGCTAAGAATCTGATTGGTCCCCCACTTTCCTCCATTCATCAACTTTTTTTTTATTGATCAATCCCTTTCCTTTGAATTCTTGTCAGGTTCTTGTTGGGTGGAGTTATGCTGGATTGCTAAGAAATCTATTACTTCTTTTAGCCGTTTGATTTCTACTGTATTAATTATTTTATCTAATTGAAAATAATAATAGAATTATATTATCCATGATGTTGCTTGAAATGGGGCATTTATTTTACTGTTTAAGTCTAAATGATGCATTTCGCCTTAATTTATTTAGATTAATTCTCAGATCTTACCTTCATTGATTTATAGTAATCTTGTGTCCTGGCCATTGAAACTGGTTATTAAAATTTAATGATTTAGGTAAATATTACTAGTTCCAAGTTTAAAAAACAAAAATAAACATTTGTATTTATCTTATTGAAAAGCAGATCGTAACTTTTAATTTTCATCTACCCTTGAAAAATAATGTTAATTTATTCTTTCACGTATCTACTTATTTTGTCATACCACAAATTATTTGACATGCTATTTGTTTTTTTTAGGTAGGAGTAATCCAGGCATTAACATAAAAATATGGCAGATGAAACTGAGTCTACTTGTAAGTTTTTTTATTTTTAAAATTTGTGGATTTTATATAGTTTTACCTGTTTTTTAAATGAAATTCATACAATCTTTTGAAGCATGTCTTTTGTGTCTCAAGTGATCTGTCTATAATCGAAATGTTTTCGCGCCTGTTACTCATTTATTTTGGTATATATATTATGTGCCTTTCGAAGAGGGAAAATTTGTGAACTGTAGTCCTCAGCGAAATTAACTAACATTCTTGTATTAATATCACACATTGGCAGGTATTTAAATGGAGTAAATAATTGTCCATTTTAATCATAAATGATAATCATAATTTTTTTGTGGCCTATGATCTGTTAAATAAATGTTTCAATAAAAACAATTATATGTTCATATTATACATTATTATATTAAATTCATTTAATTAAATAATATTTAAATCATCCTATATAGATAACAAATATTATTATATTTCAAAGTCTGAATCTTACTTTAAAATGTTAATTTAAGAAAATTTATGAATGTGGTTCGACCAACTTAAATGGCATGTTTCACCTGTTGCATAAATGGCTCATGTTAAGTAAAGTATGAAATAAGATGATGAAGGGATTAGAAAAAATTTGTTGATATTCAAAATTAATTGTTTTTTTTTTGTTTCTTTGCAGTTTCCACAATTGATATCAATGAAGAGGAAAACTCGCATATTTATTATGGTGAGAAATTTTTTAAATTATTTGATGAAAATTCAGTTTAAAATTGATATAGATATGGTTAAAATGAAATGTAGAACAGGCTTGCTTGTAGAATATATTAGTTATTTTAAAATTTATATTGACTTTATAATTTCTTTTTTTAGTTTATACAAAATTTACTTTGGTCTTCAAGCGAAAAGGCTTGGACACGAGTCTTTATTAGATTATCAACTTCGGTCTTTCTTTTCAACATTTAACTGCCTCCCCTCTATAATTATTATTTGAAATTCAGGAATTAGATCAAATCTATTAAGTATAAACTAATTGATATTAAATAGATTAATTTCAGTAAAATGTTTGACAGATGATTTGTATTTGATGACCTCAAAAGGATCAAAGAAAAAAAACTTGGATCAAATAAAATATATATATTTTTAATAATGATAATAAGGTTTATCGATCCACAAGGCCAACTCCACCAATCTCAGTCTACACATCTCCCTCCACTGGTCACTGTGTAAACCCGACCCCACCAGATCAGCTTTAACCCAATCCAACCATCTTCGTCTTAATCCATCCCTCGGACGTTTACCAGTTGGCGCAGCAAATATTAACTTTTTAGGGATTCTTTCGTTACTAAGCCCAGGAACTTTACATGCCCATTTTATTTAACCCAATGTAATCAACTCAATTATATTAACCAGATGCAGCTCTCTCCAGTTGACTCATCCTTCTTCAGTCGGAATATTCTGAGCAATACTTTACTTTCAAAAACTTGGCTCATTTATATTTTTATATTTTGCTTAATTTATTTTCAAAGACATTGCTCATCCCTTAATGTAAGCAGCCACATTTTACATCAAAGAACCCTAGGTAGGATGATGGTTTAGTAAATACTTATTTTTAAGTTTTGGGATAGAAGCTGTGAGCTAAGTAGTTTTGTCATAGAAAAATAATATTCATTTTCTGCCTTCACCTAATGTTAACCTTCTCTTCAATTTTGTGTTTTCTAGTTATATTTATTTTTTACTTAATATTTGATGGCCTTCCTTTATAATATTTTATTATTTACTTATTAAATACGTATAAACGTGAGTTGTGGTCTCTTATGTATGATTTGAATGTTGGCAGGTGGGCTAACTCATGTGAAAGAAGAAGAAGAAGTAATTATTTCAGATGACGGTAAGAAACATCAATCTGATTAAACTTTGTACTGTTTAAAATTTCTTCTTACTATTCTTTACCAGCCAAACAGTATATCGTTAGCCTCAATTTAAAGTAAATTGAATTTTCATCATATTGAGGTATATATATTTTTAAAATAATAATTACCAAATAGAGAGAGATATTAAAGCCTGTATAGCCGCAAAGAATTGATGTCTGTACAGTGTTCAGAAGTTGCTGAATTGCAAAAATCTGTCCAGAAAGGCAAAAACTGTGATATATAAAATATTTCTGAGGTCTATTGTGACATGGGCTCCAAAGCTGAAAAGCTCTCCGAAAAATTTATGGGTCGATCAAAGTGGAAAATAAATGGAGAATTAGGTCTAACTCAGAGCTAAAAGAAATGTATGGTGAACAAGATAAGTGTCATTCAACTAAATAGACTGCGATGATTGGGGTATGTGGAGCCTACAAGAGTACCGAGAAAACTACTCTACGAAAAGTAAGGAGATGAAAGAAGGGAGGAGGGTTAGGCCTCGGCTCAGATGATTGGTTGATGTGGAAGGCAACCTGAAGGAGATGAGTGTAAGTGGTTGAGGCTCTACACTGCTGACAGAGACATGTGGAAGAAGACATTAGCAGTGGCCATGATTTACCAAGGACTGTAGGGCACAGCAATAAATGAATTAATTACTAGCAAGTTAAGAGCTAATATAGACCAAAAAAATAAAATAATAAAAGGCTTAGCGAACCCGAAGGTTCGATGCCGACACCACCAATCGTTTTTTACACCCCTCCCTCAACCGTTCGCCGCTCAAACCCAGACCCTTCAGATCGGCTTTTTGCAATCTTCCCACCTTGGTCTACCCCTCGGACGTTTACCATTCGGTACTGCAAATATTAACAAAAAAAAAAAAAAAAAAAAACCTGTACCACTACAACCCATGAAGGATCTGGGGTTCAGTACTATTTAGGGAAAGCACTGTTACTAGGTCAACGGTTGTTGCAAGGAGGTGATTTGACCGAGATCACGCTCAACCGCCAGGTTTTTCCCCTTAATCAATTATTTAATTAAGGGTACCCACTTTGTAGAGGCTGGGTGTGCCTCAGGAGGGACTTCTGACCCAAGGTCGCCCCACGGCCAATGAAACAGATAAATAAATTTTCTGCCATGAGCCGGGGTTCGAACTCGGGACCTTTGCATTGGAAGCTCAGTGCCCTACCACTGAGCTACCCCGCTCCCAAAAAAAAAAAAAAAAATAAAATTATTTGTTGTGCATAAAATTTAGTGATATCTTCTGAAACCTCTTCAAGGA